AAGTGAAGAGAGATATATAGATATATATAGATATATACAGAGAGATATATATACATCAATGTATAAAATGTGTAAGACAAAGGAAAGTAGTAAGCGGCTGCGTTTGTGGTAACCGCATACGAGGCAGCACCGCAGCAGTTGCAGTTGCAGTTGCAGCAGCAACAAAGACAACAAAGACAGCGACAAAAAGCGGAGGTAAGTTGACAAAGTGACTTGTACTAAGCACACACACTACGCACACACACACACACACACTGGCACACACACGAGCTACTTAAGCCATCCGCGCAGTTGATTTACTTGTCCTAATTTTCACTTTTTGGAAAGCGCGCAACGCTTGCAATTCGTTTATGTAATCTTTACTTTGAGTCTTAATTCAATTTCTGATAGCGTTTCCGATACGGAATGCCAAAACACGCTAAATTATCATTACAAATGCATTTTATTGGCCATTTCCATATGATTGCTATGTGACTTGTATATAAATTATTCAATTGATATCATTGTATATAAGTCTGTCTATCTATCTATCTATCTCTCTGACTAGCCCTATAGCTATGTATCTATGCCTACAACTTTCTATATAACTATCTTTCTTTCTCTATATATATCTATCTAGCTATATATGCATCAACCTATCTATAGATCTATCTTTCTAGCAATCCATGTATCTTCCTATCTATCACACATGTACATGTCATATATCTACTTTTCTATATATAGAAATATATTTATCTTCCTATTTATTTATCCATCTGTCTATCTGTATATTTATCAATATAGAAAGTCTATTGAAACGTATAAAATTTAATTAATTTGTTTTCCCTTGCACTACCATGTTCTGTCTTGTAACTTCATTCCATGCATTAGCAGTTCCATATACCTATAAAAAAAATATTTTTAGATCGGCCTTCGGCATATTTAAATTATTTTATTGTTATATTTACATTTTCATTAATTTAATTTAAATTTTTATTAATTTTTTATTGCCTTTACATGTCTCTACTTTAATATTTTCGTCCCTCATAATCCTCCCACTATTTCAATTCAATAAAAGATTCTTCGTTTCAGTTTTATTTCAATCCCATTGCTATGCCATATTATATGAATATGCCATTTGCTTTAGTTTATATCTGATATTTATATAATTTGTATAGTTTTCATTCCTTTCCATGCAGTTTTAATATTTTAAGAGTTTTGCTTAATAGTCAGATTAATATGAAACTAGAGTTTCATATATCATAGGTTTCTATATTGCTTAAACTATTCTTTAGTATGTCCATAAACTGCAGTTCAGTTCTTTGTATATCGTTTCATAGAAGTATTCTCTATGATGTGGACGTTCCATTTCGTTCCACTGCCGTTGCATCACCATTGCTTCACACGTTCTTTGCCTCATTCGCATGCCGGCTGTGCGCGTTCTTATGTAATTCCACTTGTGAATAACAATCGCTCTTGCACAGCCCAAGCCGAAGTCCAAGTTGACTTCCCTTTGAGCATCTCGAACATGCCCGCCGGCAAACACTTTCTACCTGCCGTCGCTGGCGCCGCCTCGCACCTGCGCGCGCAAATTATTATCAATTTGTGCACGTCGAGGCTATAAATAGTCGATCATGCGGCTACTGCTGCATAAAAACGATTAAACGCAGAAACCAGCCGAAAGGAAAGTAAACGCCGATAAACAGAAACGCGTCTCAAAGATATCAACAGCACCAAAATACGAAAACAAAAACGAAAGAAATTTGTAAAAAAATGTATAAATGTCCCTGCTCGGGCGCCACTTGATTGGCATTGGCAGCAATCAAGTTCAGAGCCAACTCGGCAGATATAGACCAAGGCGTAGCAGGAAAACTGGAAAAGCAAAAGGCGACAACCACTTGTCACATGTCGCGCATGTTGCATGTTCGGACAATGGGGAAAAAACCATTGAATTTATGGCTTCGATTTTATCGATTACATGTTCCATCAGAGATTTTTCCTTATGGCTGGGCGGATAGGCGCACCAAAATTGGCTGAGCCAAAGATAAGTTTTGTGCAAAATGATGTCGATAGTACAAATAGCTACATTGTGAGGCTGACTAGGCGATTGCTAACCAGTTTGATGTTATCGATAACATATACTCAAAGAACAGTAACTTTTATTTTACACATCGTCACGTATATGTTATCAGCCTGCAGTTTTGCTAGCAGTAATTAGCTGCATACTAGACGTAAGAAAGCAAGCAAAAATAGGCACAAGAACAACTGTTATCGATAACACGATCACTACAAACTCTTAGATATTGTGCAAGCTGATCTGATAATCTAACTATAAATCAAGAATCGAAAACGTTTAAATAGAACACACCAATCGGTAAACACATAAATGTTATCGATAACATAAAACATACTGTTTTTGATCTCTTTGTAATAAATATAGTTTATAGATCTTTCAAAGCATGTTTATATTAGTTTTCTATGATAAATTTCAAAGTTTGAGAAATAAAATAGTTATCGATAACACACTTTATACTAAAATCAGCTAATGTGAGAGTTCTTCAAATCAAATTTATATGCATTGATAGCTTTGTTTGGAAATTCAGGTTATCGATAACAAAATATTTTTACAGTCAAGTAGAAGTATTGCTACATCGGTTATCGATAAATTTTGCTTTAGATCTAGCAGGTCTTCAATGCGTTCCACCCTGTTGCGCTTTTCGTTATAACTAGGCAACAGACAAATTTTTATCGTCGTTGTTATCGATAACTAGTGCAACAGACAATTAGCTTTTATTGTCGATGCACTCGCTTGGCTAATGTGCCGCAGCATTATCCAATGCATCCGGAAATATGAACGGGACTTGGCGTCAGTTGCTAAGCGACCAACTAACTAATAAACAAAGCTGGGCTAACGCCAGCTGGGCAATTAGTAACGCGTTTTAATTTCTTTTTATTTTTGTGTGTTTCAATACGCAACGAGCGTGACTCAAGTGAGAAAGTGTCAAGACCTGCAGTTGTCAGTTGGCTGTTGGCAGCTAGATGGCCGAGTGTGACCCACTGAGGAAGCCGCAGCCGAAGCCAAAAACCGAAACAACAAACAAACAATAACAAAGATAAACAGCCAAATGTCATCAATTATACGCAGTAAACTAAACGCAGTCATAATTAAAAGCTGTCAAATCATAATTGACAGATAGACCCAACTGTTATAGCGTCTGCCCATGTGAGCCAGACTGAATTTCTAACAATGTGTAAATTGCATAAGCAACAACAACAGCAACAGCTACAACGGACAATCGACAGCTGCTCATCAGTTAACTGGAGCTATAGCTGTAGTTCGCTCGGAGTAGGTGCTGAGAAGGGGCGTATGGGGGCTCTATATACATATTGTTATATATGATGTAAAGCCCTGAGCCGAACAATTCAATGAATGAGAAAAGCCAAAAAAACAAATAGTAGAGCTTGCATCATAACGGCCAATGAAATAAAGCTGAAGTCGAAACTGACGATGAAGATGGAGATGGAGATGAAGATGAAGTTGGCCCAAATCACAAATGGGGTCTGTCCCAAGGGCGTTGCATAAATTAACATGTTGCACTGTGAACGCGTTCGGCGCTTGCTGTTTTTTCTTCTCCTTTTTTGTGCTGTTGCGTTTGGGTTTTTAACGGCGCTTTTGTGTTCGAAATATTGGAATTTTTGTAGTCGGCTTGTGGCTCAGTTACAAGCGAACCGCGAAGACGGCCAAACGCGCCAAGCGACTTATTGTTTATTTCGTCCACAAATTTTGGATTGTCTGAGTGCCAAATATAAAAATCTAAAAGTAAAGCCAAAAACTTTTGACTAGCTCCAAGAGCAGGAAGTTGCAGTAGTAGCCAATCGCGTGCTCTCCCTCTGTCTCGCCCTGTCTCTTTCTTCCTCTCTCCCGCACTATCGTTGTCTGCCTCTCACCCTGTGTGGGGTTTGGCTTTCACTGGTATCGTTTAAATCGAGCGCGACAACATGTTGAAGAGACTGGAAAAACCACAGCAGCGTCTAACGGACAGCAATTAAAGCTGACACTCGGAACAGGCGGCCACAAATGACATTCGGACAAATAAACCAAATAACGAAATTGCATTTTACCACAGCTAAAAAAGATAAAACAAACAAACAAATACAACAAAATAATAATAAAAACAGAAACAAGCCAGAAAATGCAATGCAAAGTTGCGCTTTTCCGCCTGGCGGCATTGAACTTGAAAAACTTGAACCGCATCGCATCGCATAATCGCAGCACAGCGAGCGAGAGAGAGAGAGAGAGAGAGAGAGAGTGAGAGAGTGAGATCGAGTTAGAGGCAATCGCGCATGTCTTTAATGAGATGCCGTTTTGACATCATTCGAATTTGATTTTTCAATCTGTGATTTGATAACCTTTTTTCTTTCATTCAAGTTTTGTTGTTTTTCGTTTTGCTTGCGAAAAATGTAAACAAGTTCGTTGCCTAAGTCTTTTGTTTGCCAGCGCGTGTAGCGGCATCTGTATACTAGCCATGCAAATGAACGTCAACAATTGGCCAATTGGATTGCAAAAGAGACGTCATCGTTTCCGCGGCGAAGAGCCCGTTAATAATTAACTAGTTCAGAGCTCTCGTTACGTGATAGAAGAAGTTTAAGACAGCGTTGTATGTGCCACAGAATGAGCGTAAGAGACGCAGATGGTCAAAAATGATGATATAACGAGCTCCAACCTGGGCATATGTTCCATTAAAGAGCCAGAGCAACATGCACACTCGTCTATAACATCAACTAAGGCTAAGTCTTAGCCTGGAAGTGCTTTATACTGAATCAACGTCTTGATGTGAGCAAGGAAATTCCTAATTAGCTGAGCTTTATGAGCCACGGAGTTGCCTAAAGCCAATGCCCAAAACATTTGCAGCTTATTTCGCTGACAACTCAGCTAACAAAACAAAAATGTTTAACATTAATCTCACTTGAAGGATTTCCTCTATTTCGGTATAGGTTGCCTCAATACTCAAGTCTTTACTTATATAATAGAAGCGTTATAATAAGATTTCAAGTATCATTCCAACACTAATAACTATCGTTTCGCCTTGCAGTTCTGTCCATATTGCAGTTGAAATATGGGCCAAGAGGTATCGCAACAGCAGCAGCAACACCACAACCATAACCACAACCACAACCAGAACCAGAACCAGAACCACCACCAGAACCACAACCTGAACCATAACCTTAACCTTAACCATAAGCGTGGCCAGCCGCATCGTAAGAGCTACAAGGATCCCATCTATACGCCCGCCAGCCATCTGTCTAGCAGCTCCAGCTCGAACAGCACCGACAATTACGACGCCAACTACAGACTGCGGCACAAGTACAATCTGACGAAGCAGACGTACGAGCGCACCAAGATCCTGGCCGGCAACGTTACGAACCGAAGCAGCCTACCGTTGGACAGCGATTCCCATTACGCCAAGTTGAACGGCACGTATCTGCAGCGCAGCAGTTCGCAGAGCTCGGACAGCGGCATATACAACTCGTCCTGTCACTGCTCGTCGCTATCCTCGCTATCCTCTTCGGCGATTAGCAGCAGTTCGGCCAGCTCCAGCAGCGGCTGCCCCAGCTCGCTGCTGTCCAGCAAGTCCGGCCGTTCGCTGGACAAGCAGAAACACTATCTGAGCCATCATTTGTATATCAAGTCCTATTTGGACATCTTAGAGGAGGACGAGCGGGCGCGCGCCCATTTCAAGTCGGCCCGGCCGGGTGGCATACGCAACTACACGCCCAAAATATTAGGAGGCGGCGACTCGGCCAGCTCAACACTGTCGGCCAGTGCGCCCGCCGACAGCTTCGGCTATCCACATTCGAATCCAGCGAGCAAGCAACGCGCCAGTGTTAGCTCCAATTGCTCAACGAACGCAGTCGTTGCGGCCAGGAATAGTCAGGAGGATCCTTGGATTTGACAATTACTGAAACATGGCGTTTGGCACAATGACGTCTTTGCTTGGCATGATCCCGCTACTGGCGATCGGCATGAACTACTATCGCTATCAAAGCGTCGATCCCGAGAACAAGGTTCAGGAGCCATCAATCGTAAGTGAAGTGTCTCAACTCTTAGCTCTTAAGTCTCTGGAAACATAAGGTGTAGCCAGGTAACCACAGCTTTGTTCTTAAGGAAAATCAAAATATAAATATTGACTACAGAGGCCTAAGCTAATGATTTCATAGGTGGAATTATAATTTTGTATGATAGATTGATTTATTGTTGTATGTATCTGTGTACCTTCCGCTAAGCCGGAACAAATATGGAAACACCAAGTAATTTCGCTTGTCCGAAAAGACTTATAGTTGCTTGAAATGAAAGCTGACTGTACAGAAGCAAGAGAAATTTGTGTGACCCCTTGAGAAAGTACGAAAGACAGAAAGTGAGCTTCTACATATCAGAAAGACGGTGCGAAGCAGCTGTAGAAGAGCTGGGAAATTTGCCACAGGAACTGTAACTCAGTGATCTGCAAAGATCAGCAAGCAAAACATTAGGCAATTGCCAGCTAAGCCCATAATCACACTTTGAATCGTTGCAGATACGTCGCCAATATGATTTCGTTGTGATTGGCGGTGGCTCCGCTGGCGCTGTGGTGGCCAATCGCTTGAGTGAGGTGCGCAACTGGACGGTGCTGTTGCTGGAGGCGGGTGGCGATGAGACGGAGATCTCGGATGTGCCCGCGCTGGCGGGCTATCTGCAGTTGACCGATCTGGACTGGAAGTACCAGACGACGCCCTCATCGACGCGCCAATACTGCCAGGCCATGAAGGGCGATCGCTGTTTCTGGCCACGCGGCAAGGTGCTCGGCGGCAGCTCCGTACTGAATGCCATGGTCTATGTGCGCGGCTCGAAGAACGACTACGATCACTGGGCTTCGTTGGGCAATCCCGGCTGGGACTACAATCACATGCTCAAGTACTTTTTAAAATCGGAGGACGTACGCAATCCGTACCTGGCGGCCACACCCTATCACGAAACGGGCGGCTATTTGACGGTGCAGGAGGCACCGTGGCGAACACCGCTCTCCATCGCCTTTCTGCAGGCGGGCATTGAGATGGGGTATGAGAATAGGGACATAAATGGCGCCAAGCAGACGGGATTTATGCTCACCCAGAGCACTATACGCCGCGGGTCCCGCTGCAGCACCGGCAAAGCCTTCATACGCCCCGTGCGCCTCCGTAAGAATCTGGATGTGCTGCTCCACGCGGAGGCAACACGGTTGCTGCTCGACAAGGATAAGCGTACTGTGGGCGTGGAGTATATAAAGGGAGGCCGCAAGCAGCTGGTGTTTGTGAGACGCGAGGTTATCCTCAGTGCCGGAGCGCTCAACTCGCCAAAGTTACTGATGCTGAGCGGAATTGGTCCGGCCGAACATCTGCAGGAGCACAATATTCCCGTTATATCGGATCTGCCGGTGGGCAACAACATGCAGGATCACGTGGGTCTGGGCGGACTTACGTTTGTAGTGGATGCACCACTGACCGTAACGCGGAATCGCTTCCAGACCATACCCGTCTCCATGGAGTACATAATGAGGGAGCGCGGACCTATGACCTTTTCGGGCGTCGAGGGCGTCGCCTTCTTGAATACCAAATATCAGGATCCAGCGGTCGACTGGCCAGACGTACAGTTTCACTTTCTGCCCAGCTCGATCAACTCTGATGGCGGCGAGCAGATACGCAAGATCTTGAATCTAAGGGATGGCTTCTATAACACAGTCTACAAGCCGCTTCAGCACAGCGAAACCTGGTCTATACTGCCGCTCCTGCTGCGACCCAAGAGCAGCGGCTGGGTGCGCTTGAATTCGCGCAATCCACAGCAGCCGCCAAAGCTGATACCCAACTACTTTGCGCACCAGCAGGACATCAATGTGCTGGTCGAGGGCATCAAGCTGGCCATCAATGTGTCCAACACGCAGGCCTTCCAGCGGTTCGGCTCACGGCTGCATAACATACCGTTGCCCGGCTGCCGGCATCTGCCGTTCCAATCGGACACGTATTGGGCATGCTGCATTAAGCAGTTCACATTCACCATTTACCATCCGTCGGGCACTTGTCGCATGGGCCCCAGCTGGGATGTTACTGCCGTTGTCGATCCACGCCTGCGGGTCTACGGCGTCTCGGGACTGCGCGTGGTCGACGCCAGCATCATGCCGACCATTGTCAACGGCAATCCGAATGCGCCGGTCATAGCCATCGGCGAGAAGGCATCGGACATGATCAAAGAGGATTGGGGCGCACGCCGTGCACCGGCCGTAGCAGCCGCTGGCTAGCTGTACTCCATGGCTACTGTTAATTTAATCAACTAGTCAATTATGTGTGTAATTAATTATTATTAATCTCTTGCTCTTTTTTTTCGTTGTTGCTGCAAAACAACGTCTTGCTTAGTTGTTAAGTCTTATTTGATAATTGCAATTATTTTATTATTTTAATATCTTATTTGTCTGCTTAGTATTTATATAACTATTTTTATTTATTGCTATTTGATATTACTAAATGCTAATTCATACATTTTTTATTTGTTTTTTTTTTTTACTTCGTAATGAATAAAAACTTTTCATCTTTAAATTGAGTTTTCCATTCGAATTTCAAGCTGCCGCCTGCAAGTATGCAACAGTTTTTTTCTAATCAACGCTGAGGCTGCCTTGTGTTACGTTGGCTGCTAACTGTTTAAGAACCCATAATAAGCAAAATAATTAAATAATTAATGCTGATACATTATTCAATTTACTTTAATATTTTGTTACTCGTTTTCTATAAATATTGCCTGAACACACAGTATTTATTGTATTTCAACTCCGCGCTTACAAGTATGCAATACTTTTTATCAGCAAAATTCGTTCATTTGATATGCTCACGAAACGGAGTATAAAAATATATTCGTTTGTTGTGTTGGAAACTTTGAATTCGTTAATGAGAGACGTGATTTTAGTACAGACTCTTTAATTTGTTTGCACAGTTTTCAATTTGAAGTTATTTAATCATTGCTTATTTTCTCGTCATATCTACTCCACTCAAGCAAGGAAATCCACATAGAGCTTGGAGTCTCTTGGATGCAAAACAAAACCCACATCGAACGCCTTCACAGATACAGCAAGCCTCTTGCCATCAACAGGCTTGACGACAGCCTCCGTCAACCGCCGTCTAAGCATATATCACACGCTGCATCTTTCACATCGTTATCTCTGTGCTCTAAGCCACATTTTTATATGTGATATAATATATAATTAATATATAATTATAATAATATAATTAAAATTTGGTGCTTGTTTTATATGACAGATTGCAAATATAAATAAATAATATAAAAAAGTAAAATAAACATAATTTTTCATCGCTCTCGAAAGTATGCAACACTTTTGTACAGCAACTGCTGCAGTTACTTCTTAACTCTATAATACGTATTCATTAATATTTTCTTGAACAGTACTCATTCAGGAATCAGGGACAGCGTGCCTGTGCTGCGCAAACTATAATTAACAATTCCCACCCGAACGTATGCTGCACTTGATTGAATAAGCTAGTCCAGCAACCCAGCCCACTTGGCACATTCACACAGCCGCTGCGAGTGCGACTGCAGTCTGCATCGCTTGCAGCTGTCACGTATACGAGACGTTGGCCATTTTAACTGTTTTGGCTTCCGGCATTTGGCGCAAAATTAAAAGCCTGGCCAAATGTCAAATTACTCAAAGTTGACTGGCAATCAAAGCGAATCATAAAATGATTTCCGTGACTAACCGCGCGCCCGCCGCTGGGGCGTGGCTATCAAGTATTTCCTGCTCGTAAGCGAACGTTTCTCTCTCTCTATCTCGCATTATCCCTCTGATTTTCTGTCCCACCTATTGCTGTTGATTTGTGCCAAGGTTAACATACTAAAAGTAACGCATTGACGACACTTGTGGCAGCGCTCACGTTTTATTTCGTAGGTGTCAGCCGGGGAAACGGCACAAACAACAGTTAAAACAGGCAGTTATGTCGGTTAGTTGACTTAGTTGAGCTGCCCGGGCTAACATCGATTAGCTAATGCGCTCGATCAATACGCTCGGGCATGGCCCAGTTGATTAACCATTTCAATTGCAAGACGCAGCGTTAATTTTTGGCCTGACCCACTCGTTTCCCAATCAAAAGTTTACAATTGGCAATTCGCATGCGCTCATAAAAAGAATGTTATGTAGCTAAGCATGCCTGACTGGCAGATACCCTGTATGCGGCCTTATATACACACAGACATACCGCATGCATTTTGTTGCGCACGAATGAATCGGATCGCATGAATTGTTCGCTTTTCGCCCGCAGTCATCTTTATAAGTACAGGGTATTTGTGCACTCAGCGCAAAGCTGAGCTGGTCATAAACCACCCAAGGCGCTTCTTATATAATGCCCTTTAGACAAACGCCCAAGACCCAAAGTAAATATTTGATTTGATTTAAGCGAAATGCCAAGTCATACTATGGCCAACAGTTGAGGGCGAACGGTGGCTGCACAAAGGGACGCGGCGGGTCTGATCGGGTCGGGCGTGGTTTGGCAAAACGCAAAAGAAATGAAAAAAAAAAACACGATGCGGCGTACGTGAGTCGAAAATATAATGGAAAGTGTTATGCCAAAGACGATGGTCCGCGGCAAAAGCGAAATAGTAAACATCCAAAAGTAAACAGCCAGAGCTGGTCATAATGAGGAAACGCCAGATGATAATGATAATAATAATTATGATGATGACACACAGTGCGAAGTGGTCAAAAGTGTCTGTGGTCAGTGCGGCTGCGAATTTGGGTCATTAATCGGCTGAGGGGCAATAGCAATGCAACACGCAAACAGGGAACGCAAAACTAATTGGCACATTTTGTTGTTGCTGTTGTTGTTGTTGTGAAAGAGGCTGCCCGGCAGGTAGTTGTGCTCATCGGAGATGTCTGTTGCAAGGCGTGATAAACGCAGCTTTTTGTCTGTGAGGATCAACACGTAGCTCAGGCCAACATCATTTCGAAGAAGACTTGACACAAGCTGTTGCAACATCCATTTGCAGCTATTAAAATCAAATAAGACGAATGCTGCGCATTCAACAGAAACTTGAATAGGGCTTTTCATAGTGAAGCACTAAAAGTCTTTAATTTGATTATCAAACTGACCAACTGACAATGAGAAGTCTGATTTCAAATGTCTCGACTTTCAGATCGTTAGAAATTAGAAAAAACTCAAACTCAATCTTTAATAAATTCGGACCTTTATGATTCAAGAGTTATTTTTTTAGAGCTTCACAACTTTGAGCTGTTAACACAGCTTTATTTGGCAAGCCATTTAATAGCTGATAATTGATTAACGTTAAGTTTGATTTGACATTTCATCAGAGCAAGGTTTGTAAATTCCTGAAATTTTTATTTAAAATAATTTTTCTATTTAAATTATATTTGTTGAAAAGCGATTTGTGATCAGTGTAAAATTGCATGTTTCAGAGGGACCAACATTATATTAAACGTTAATGTCATAAAATATTCCATCCAATAAAATTCTGTTTATTGATATTAAAAATAAATGTACTTAGTTCATTATAATTTTAACTTATCTTATCTGTAAGCAAAAACTCGTTTCATAAAGATATTTTCAATATATGAAGAGTTGATTGCTGAGCCGAACATTTATACAGGCTAAACGGTTTCCCAATTATGGCCAGCATGAGAGCAGTAAGAGACCGACATGCCTCAAGTCAATGCAGATCAGAAATGTATACAATTTGATTTGCTCTAATAGCTATAGATAGAGATAACAAAAAAAAATAGTTCACAGCTGATATAATGGATTTGGCAGAGTCATGAGATCATTTACCAATGGGTCATCGAGTGTCAGGTCGAGTAGGCAATTTTTGGGGTTTCGATTCGTTTGTTTCAATCAATGTTGAGTGGTACTTGAGCTGTGGCCGCGGAATGCATTGGCAAATATGTTACTCTATATGAAATTCCGCTCCATGACTATCCCATAAATGCCGCAATAGACGGCAGCGAGTCGGGTTTATGTGTCGACGTGATGTCGAACACTTTTGACGATGCAGCCTAACACACCAAAGCACGCAGAGAGATGGGGCTGTAGTGGGGGAGGGGGCTACAGCGAAGCCGGCAAAAGCAGCTGTCTTCAGATACGGCACCAAATTGAATAATGTCTGCTTAATTTCGGTCAATTATGCCGCCCGAATCCAACTCAAAACGAACCGAAGCCAAGCCGAGCCCCAAGCAGCGCCCCGAGCAGAGCCCCAAGCCGCGTCGAGCCGATGCGGGGCGGGTCCAGCCCCGACGAATATCGGAGACATGTAATTTCATTTGCAATTCAGTCGAGCGGCGGCGGCGGGGGACAGACATCTGGGAAACGCTTGGCAGGCAGCATTGTCAAAAAAAAAGACAAAAACAAAAAAAATGTAAGAAAAATAAAAACAAATTCATTTTTTTGAGCAGTTCGATGGAAATGCTTACGTCATGAGCCAAAGTGGAAGGTGTCTGGCACGGCACTTGATTGGGCTCACGTAGCCAGCTTTGGAGCAGCGCCGAGCAGCGATTGGCGACTGCCCTTAGCCAGAGCAAGAGTCTTTAACTGGTCATTAATTGGACGCGGTTGCTGTAATACCAGACCAGACCCGGCCGGAGCAGAGCAGAGCAGAGCAGACAGTGTAGCTCGGATTCGAGTAGCCAGCAGCTTGGAGAGGCTCATTCGCTTCCTGAAGCCTCAAGCGAAAGTCCGCTTTTACTATAATTTGCTTTTTTTACAGATACCCTGTAGGTCAAATGGATTTTTACTGAGCATGAAGGGTTTCAATGTCAATGAAACATTATTTACTAAGTTTTAGATGTTTGCAAAGATTTTCTAGGCTTTAACATTGTTTTGAAATATTTCTTCATGCCAGTTTCAAGCCGCGTTGTATAACAATTTATATTTTTCATGAGCCACAAACCGAAACAGTTGACCCAATAAATATAAAACAAAAGCTATACAAAAGAAAATCATGAATAAGAATTTGTTGTCTTGAAACCACATGAGTAAGACTGGAAACAAAAACTTTGTTCAGAGAGTTTTGCTCATAGCAAAAACCGAACCACTGAACACTTTTGATGCTTTAGTTAAGACTACATGCAAGGTTAACTAACCAGTTGCTACTCAAAAATCTATTCACATCCAAATGGCAGAGTTTTAGGGAAATCAAGGGGTATGGGACGGTTGGGCAACGCTTAGATCGCGAGCCTCTTAAACATATTTTGAGGGCGGCCACATTTCATTTTTGCGGCATTAGAGAAATGAATTTTTGGCGCATGGAACTGGCAGCTCGAGCCACCTACCTAAGTTCGTAAAACGTAGCTAATTGCACATTAACACCCAGCAGCAGCAGCAACAGCTAGTTGCAAAAACATTTCAACATGATTTAGTAAATCTTCAGCTGCCTAAGTTTCAGTTTCAGTTTCAGTTTCAGTTAGTCTCTTTTTATTTTCCTAGTTTCTACCTCTCTCTCTCATACTCTCGCTCTCCCTCCCTCTCTCTCTCTCTCTCTTTCTAGATTATATAAATTATAGCCGCTAGTTGCACATGTGACAAAAATCAGCAAATGGCGCAAAAGCGTTGCCAGCCTGACTGACTGCCCGCCTATCTGTTTGTCTCTCTGTTCGGCTCTGTGCCACACGGCTTGTGGGTAGCTGCCACAGACTGTCAAAAACAAAAAAAAAATAGACTAAACTGCGCAAAATCTTTATTTAGCCAACAAGTAAATAACTTCATTTTCCATTTTTTCTTCCTTCAAGCGATTTTACTTTATTTATTCATCTGCTGCTGGCAGAGGGGAATGCGCATGTTATTTGCGGAATGCGGTCACGCAATCAACAACAACAACAACAACAACAACAACAGCAGCAGCCACAGCAGCAACAAGTGTGTTAACCACAATTTTGGGGGCAACTGTAATTAACCAAGTTTTGAACCCTGCTTTTGCCCAGTTACTAAATTCTTTTCAACTTTTCCCCAATGTTCGCTCAACCAACTGGCCAAGATTGAAGAGTTGAAGAACATTCTCTGCAGCGAGCTCAATATCTAGCAGAAGTGAAGATGATTTCATGAGTTTAGCTATGTTATAAATACATATACATATATATATTTAACAAATAATAATAATAAATAAATTGCTTCACTTTCAATTTTTCTATATTTCGTATTCAAATTGGCATATACATATATGAAATCTTAAGGATTACCTTAAAAATACTTCCCACTCTCTTTGACTCAGTCTATTCCCACTCCGTTAGCACTTCTTTGTCTCATTCTAGTATAATTAATTAATATAATAAAGTAATTACTCCAGCCAGGTTGTCCTTTAGCTCATCTTTGCTTTCCATTTTTAATGCTTACTTGAGCTGCCTTAATAAATAAATGTCTTCATTATTATATTCCTGTTTTATCTCCCGCCAATTACAGCCAATTACTGACTCTCTTAGCCTAATTGTTCACTTGGCTCTTTCGTAAATCGTTTTTTCAAGTGATCTACAGCCAGTTTGTCTTCTTCATGCCCTTCTTCTTTTCATATCTCTCCTTCTTGCTCTTTTGTTACATTATAATCTCATTACTATTCATGTTCATTATAGTGGAGACCATCTCTTTTGAGCAAAGAACTTCAAGTTCTTCAAGTTCAACTGCGTAACATCTGCTCAGAGTCTATTCACCTTTCTCTATCTACTGCGCACGATCCGTTCTATTATGTTTCACTGTTTTTCTTGGTTCTGCGTAGATCTTGAAGTTTATAGTTTAGGCTTCAGCTGGAGCTCTTTTAAAAATAAAATATTATTAGCTGTGAATACAATTATTATTGTCAGCATTTTTCCACATAATCAGTGAAGATCTATAAAGTCTATAAGTCTCTCTCTGAGGCGATTTTTCTTATCATTATTATTACTAGCTTTTCCAACTGCTCTCCCTCTCTCGCTCTTTCTTCTCTCTCTTTACTCTTCTCTCTTTCGTTTCCTCTCCGCCTCCCACTCTCTCCGTCATACTCTGTTTCTTTTTTTCTCTCACTCTCTCTCTCACTCTTTCTCCCATTCACTCTCTTCCTATCTCACTCACTTCTCCTTCCCATCTCTCTCTCCATCTCTCTCTCTCTCTCATTCTCTCTCTTTTTTCTACCTCCACAGTTCTCTCTCTCTCTCTCTCTGTCCACCTCTCTGTCCCACTCTCCCCATCTCTCTCCAATTTATAACATTATCATCGCTCTTCATTATCATGCTTCATAATCGCTCGTCTTATCAGCACATCGAACATGTTCGATATGCAACATGTTTGACGGGTATGTGCCAATAATATGCAACAGCTGCTCGCTAGCTAGCCATTTGGCTTAGTTGCTGTTGTTGTCAGCGCAATTGCTGCTGTAGCTGCTGCTGTTGCTATTGCCAAACAGTTGCCGATGCTGACGTCGTGGACGCCGCAGTCGGCGTTTGGCTCGTTTGCACGGATTTCGCGTTTAACTTTGCGTTCAGTTGAAAGCGTGCAACACAGCCGCACGGTCGCAAAGCTCCATACACAAAGAGCGATTAACGATAAATGATATACGATATACATAAATCAACAAGCTCCTCTTTTTTTTTTGTTTGCTTCGATGCGCGCAGGATCCGCCTGAGCTGCCCGCCCACCCATAACTCAAACGAGTTGTATGCTTCGTGCGCGTAGAACTTCAAGTAAGCAACGATTTCTATCGATAAGAAAATACATGTGTGTATCTTGATCTCTATGTGTGTGTGTGAAAGGAAATGCATGCAGCTAAAGTGAAACCTTGGCAGGGACAGGTGCAGGTGCAGGTGCAGGTGCAGGTGCAGCTGCCGGACCTATTGACTTAAGCAGGCAGTACCCTTCACGAAAGCAACAATAAAAGCCCACATGCTTTGTGTTTTGGGCAAATGCAAAAGGCACTCAAGTGCGACTACAACAACAACAACTTCGCAGCAGCAGCAAAAGCACGAGCAGCGGCAACTGCGATTGCAAGCGGCAACATTTTGCAATCGCCCACAAAAAAAAACCAACAACTGCGGGATACATTTGAAAAGATATATGGGATACATGGGTAAAAGGAAAAGCAAGAAAAACATTGACGCAGCACTTTCGTAGATAAGTAGGCTATAACACCAACAACAATGGCAACAGCAACAACAATAACAACAACAACGGCAACTACAAACTGTGACTCTTTTTTCAAGCATGGGCAAACAACAATTCTGCAAGCAAAGCTGAAATCCCCTCCATCGCCCTGTGGGCAAGCGAGTCAAGCCTGCGCAGAAACCGCTTGAGAATTATAGGCCAAAACCATAAATATTCAATAATAATTGATATTTATGCATAGAACCTGAAGTAAATGTGCTCAACTGTTCGTTAACATTGTTAATACATTTTGGCATCTTCTGGCCAAGAAATCAATTCATTTCGGCGACGAAGTGGCTCTAAGATAAATACTTCATGCTACTATGAAGCTAGCAACTTGCAGCAGACGAAGAAGTTGGAACGAATTAAAGTTTGAAGTTTATGTTAAAGCGTCTGTTAACTTCAACACGCTGTATATTGATCACAATATAGTGACTACACGAATTTGTATGTTCGCTTGTTTTGAAGCTGCTTTAACATGAGCAGACAGTAAACACAGCTTTTAAAGTGATTGTTAACGTTGGCATAAGCAGTTTATTCGAATGCCAAACAGCTGGCAAGATAAGATATACATAAATTCCCAAGTCAATTACGTATTGAGGCGCATGTGAAGGCCTGTAGGCTGCTACCAAAGCAGAGCTTAAACGCTTAAGTAACACTAAGCCAGCTGTTATATATGTTCTGTGCAACATCTGGCAACGCTGCGAATCATATCTCACCGGCGAGGCTAATACAACTTAGCTTGAACTTTTCGCTTGGCTGCCCAACACAAAAGACTTAGGACACAAACGCGTGAATGTTGCTGATGATTGACTAATGAAGTGTCAACACGCACCCACCAGCCAAAGTTGCAGCAGCAGCAGCAACAATTAAGCATTGCAATTTGCCTGGGTGTTGTTGCAGCTAAATAAATAACAGCTAAACAACAAATTTGCCGCTACGCATTCAACTGTTAATTTAATTATTAAAGGCAACAATTGCTGCAGCAACTGAATAAAGTTGCTGCTGCTGCTGCTGCTGTTCCCATTGGCACATTGACCCAAGTGGCACGCGCTGCCCGAACTGATTGTTGGCAGCTTGTGAGTTTGACGTCTGTCAAGGTGACTGACATTGGCGACCCCGAGAGCTGACGACAACCTAACAACCTAGAGCCAAACTCTTGTGGCTGTTGCTGTTGCTGCTGTTTCCGTTGTTGTTGCTGGGCATTGACTTTGGCCTCTTGTGGAGCTAGGTTTGCTGCTTTTTTGTGTGGCTCACGCCAAATTAGCGCACAAAATCATTTTAATTGCGCTCACTTTGTTTTGGCTGCCTGTCAACTGTTTACGCATCCGTCAGATACAATTCGTCAGATACGTGCGTGGGCGTGCCAAACTTGACATTTGCGGCACATTTGCTTGGCCTTCACTAGTGTAGGCCCAGGAAATGTTGCACCTATTTGTCTCACACACAATTCACACACACACACTCGCACACACACACAGCTCATTTGGCAAGAGCTAACAATAGCAGTCGCTTTTAGTCAAGATGCCCAACTGGTTTACCTGGCCTACCTGGCACCACAGGCACTGCTCCCGCGTCCCCCGCGTTAGCCCCTCTCACTCTCTCTCTGCAACTCAATAAACTTGTTTGTTGCTGACCCAATTTCGGGCCGCTTTTTTCGACATTTTTACAAACATTTCATTTAGTTTTGGTTTTTTTTTTCGCACAACAACATCAAAAGCTGGAAATTATCTGAAATGCGTGCGCTTTGGTCCCGGGTTTCAGTTTCAGTTTCAGTTTCAATTACAACTTCAGTCGCAAATCCAAGCCGTAGAGCCACCTGTTTTGGATGGGTTCAGACAGCGCTGAAACATTTGCAGTTGAAGCTGGGAGTAATAGAGTAGTAGAGCTGAAGCTGATGCGGGAGCTGCCTTCAGGTAACTGCTTGGCGCAGCCTTTGGCCTTTCACTTGGGTGCAGTCAAGCGGCACTAAAGTTTTGGCGGCACAGTGGTATACTGACATAGAGGGGCGTTATGTGACGCCAGCTGAGTGAGCGGTAACTGGGTGAATACCCTGTCTTTTTTGTATTGAGAAGTTATTAACTTTGTCGATTATCGAAAATCGATACTTATCGATTTGGCCCAGAAATGAAAGATTACCGAAAAGCTGGCTCTGTATATGCATTTCTAGCTCTACAGCTTGGACTAAAGTATTCTTATAGATTTCTATAGTTTCTCAGATCCATTTTTTGATGTGGAATATATGGATATATTCGATAATATTAGCATATGTTTTCCTCAATATTTTCGACTAAAGCTGACTCTCTCCTGCAATGCTTAGCCAATAGAAATTTCCTATTGACATTTCATTTAACCCAGCTTGTGGCAAGTTAGGCGAGCTCTTCTTCTTCATCAAATATAATTTAAGTCTGCTTGCTTATTGATTTAATGCGAATGCCCTTATGTAAAGTGAATAAATGCCATCTCTAGGCAAACAATGAGGCGCTGCTCTCGTTGCTTGAAAGGTAGTTTCTCATATGTGAACTTTGATTTGTGGTATGCATAATGTATGAATCAGCTGCTGGGACTTTCAACTCTACTTGTTGATGGCGTTTTGGACCCACTGTGCCCAGCCGGCTTAGCCGACAAAAAAGCTTAGCTGTTAACTGCGCGGACAAGCGACGCAACGCTGCACGTTTCAACACCCGCGCGATAACAAGCCAATAACTAGCAACTACCAACAACCAACTACAACAGCAGCAGCAACAGCAACAACAAAGTGACAACAGCGGTTGTTGCTGTTACTGTTGTTCAGTCTTAACGGCTGATCGAGTGACAAGGCAAATGAATTATGTTTAGTCCGATAAGTAAATAGACAACAAAAAGATATTTCGTATGTAGATTTGTAGAAATTTACCAATCGCGCGCCAATTATAACAGAAAGCAACAAAAACAGCAACGACGACAGCAACAACAGCAACAACAGCAACAACAACCAACAAAAGCAAACATTTTGGTAGCTATTACATCAGAGCTTGTAGATATTGTAATAAAAACGAATGGCCCCACGATTTGAAAGACAAACAGAAGTAGCAGCAACAAAAGATACTTTTGTATGCTGCTGTTGTTGTTGCTGTTGTTGCTGCAGTTTTGAACGGCATTTTGCGTGGTTTACATTCATTATAAGCCGCATTTGTTGTGGCTGCCAAAAGCGGTTGCGATTTTCCACACTTTAACGATATTGGCCGCAATAGCCGTCAAGGTCGCACGCCGCCACTGGCAACGCCAGCGGCCCTTTCCGCTGAGGGGAAGTCGCTGGCAGCGATTGCATTGCAACAAAATTGTGAATGCAATCAATGCAATGTCAGCCAGCTGAATATCACAACAATGGCTACAGATTGAGGATGATTTCGAATGTAACAGTAAAGGCGGCCGTACCGGTACGACAGCTTTTGATTGGGCCTGCATGCTCTGACTCCCCTGGATGAAATGCTAAAAGATTTAACAAATAAACTCCAGCTGCAAGCTCGGTGAAGCAACGTTGCGCCGATACCAGAGCGTGATGACATTAGAGTTCAATGTTCAGGGCAGCCTTATAGCTATAATATACATAGGTAGGACAGCTTTAGGGTTTTCAGTATTTATAGACAGCCAAGCAAAGATTTTTAGAAATAAGATCTCAAAAGAAGAACCCGTCGATATTAGCCAGTTTTCTTTTCTATGATTGCATTGTGATGTCTGGCTGAATAATCAAATATATAAAACACTTAAAATCTCTGTAACAATTAAAAATAAAAAAAAAAACATTTGTTTTCTTACAGCTAGCGAGACTGAAATACTAAGAGCGCCAGCAACAGCTAGCACATCGGATGGTGACAGACGCCACGCCATGTACAAGAGAAAGAGACCCTAGAGAGAGAGAGAGAGCGCGCGTGAGAGATAGACACGCAACCCAAAAAGAGAGAATAAGTAAATCCTAAGCAAACAACAAACGTCAGCGCTGAACATCGAAAATGGTGTTAAATCTGCTTTTCATCACGACTGTCATTAAGTCGACATTCGGTGTAGTTACCACTGGGCTGTGGCTAATACCATTGCTCTTGGCGGCAATCACCTACTATCGGTACGATGCAGTGGATCCGGAATCACGGCCACTCGACCAGCTCAATTTGTGGCCCGAGTACGATTTCATAGTCGTGGGCAGCGGCTCGGCAGGTGCGGTGGTGGCCAATCGCTTGAGCGAGGTGCGTAAATGGAAGGTGCTGCTCATTGAGGCGGGGCCGGATGAAAACGAGATATCGGATGTGCCCTCGCTGGCCGCCTATTTGCAGCTCAGCAAACTGGACTGGGCATACAAGACGGAGCCCTCGACAAAGGCTTGCCTGGGCATGCAGAACAATCGCTGCAACTGGCCACGTGGACGCGTCTTGGGTGGCTCCTCCGTGCTGAACTATATGCTGTATGTGCGCGGCAATCGACACGACTACGACCATTGGGCCGCACTTGGCAATCCCGGCTGGGACTATGAGCAGGTGCTACACTACTTTAAGAAATCCGAGGACAATCGCAATCCCTATCTGTCGAAGAGCGGCTATCATGGTCGTGGCGGGCTGTTAACTGTGCAGGAATCGCCCTGGCATACGCCACTGGTCGCTGCCTTCGTAGAGGCGGGCACACAGTTGGGCTACGACAATCGGGACATTAACGGGGCGCAGCAGGCGGGCTTTATGATTGCACAGGGCACCATACGACGTGGCTCGCGCTGCTCCACAGCGAAGGCTTTCCTTCGCCCCATACGGCAACGTCCCAACTTTCATTTGTCCATGAACTCCCATGTGACCCGCGTCATTATCGAGCCGGGCACCATGCGCGCCCAGGCCGTTGAGTTTGTGAAGCACGGCAAGGTGTATCGCATTGCGGCACGCCGGGAGGTCATACTCTCAGCGGGTGCCATCAACACGCCGCAGCTGATGATGCTCTCAGGTCTGGGACCGAGCAAGCATCTGCAGCAGCATGGCATACGTGTGCTGCAAGACCTGCCCGTGGGCGAGAATATGCAAGATCATGTGGGCATGGGCGGCCTCACATTTCTCGTGGACAAGCCAGTGGCCATTGTGCAGGATCGCTTCAATCCAACAGCTGTTACCTTTCAGTACGTGCTGCGCGAACGAGGACCCATGACCACACTGGGCGGCGTCGAAGGTTTGGCCTTTGTGCACACTCCCTACTCCAATCGCAGCATCGATTGGCCAGACATACAATTCCACATGGCACCCGCCTCCATTAACTCCGACAATGGGGCACGAGTCAAGAAGGTAATGGGCCTGAAGGAGTCCATATATCAAGAGGTCTATCATCCCATTGCAAACAAGGACAGTTGGACCATAATGCCGTTGCTGCTGCGGCCACGCTCGAGGGGCACAGTCCGTCTGCGGTCTGCAAATCCCTTTCACTATCCACTCATCGATGCCAATTACTTCAATGACCCGCTGGACGCCAAGACCCTGGTGGAGGGTGCCAAGATAGCGCTGCGCGTCGCTGAGGCGGAGGTGTTCAAGCAATTCGGCAGCCGACTCTGGCGCAAGCCTTTGCCCAACTGCAAACAGCACAAGTTTCTATCGGATGCCTACTTGGAGTGCCAGGTGCGCACTATATCCATGACCATCTATCATCCCTGTGGCACAGCCAAAATGGGCCCCAGCTGGGACCCAGAGGCGGTCGTCGATCCGCGCCTGCGCGTCTACGGAGTGCGCGGCCTGCGAGTCATCGACGCGAGCATTATGCCCACAATCAGCAGTGGCAACACGAATGCCCCCGTCATTATGATAGCCGAAAAGGGCGCCGATCTCATCAAGGAGGATTGGCTCCACAATCCCGAGTATAAGGTCAAGCGACAGGACAGCCAGGGCTACAGTGACAGCGCGTCAGCAGCTAGCAGCAGCATTTACAGCATCAGCAACAGCAGCAGCAGCGACAGCAACAACGTGACGCTAGCAGCAACAGCTGCTGACAGCCGGACAAGCAGCTAGCCGAGTCAGCTGTGGGTCAGGGATCAGGCGCGCTCAGGGGTCAACTAGCTTTACAAACAAACAAAACAAACGAACAAACGGACAGAGTCTGACCTATAAACAATGTCTTGCTTTTTCTGCTGTTTGTTGTTTGTTGTTTGTGGTTTGTTGTTTGCTGCTTGCTGCTGTCGAATCTCAGACAAAAGTTTGCCATTGTTTCAATCTAGTGTTAAAGCAAACAACACACAAGTGTACGCCTTTTTTGGCCTCTATCACATAACACCCCAGCAACGACGGCAACAGCAGCAACAAACAACAATCGGTTTTCCATCCAATCGCAACATACTGCAATGGCATAATGCATGAAATCGAGTCATAGTTATGTATCATATATAATTTCTAGACTCTAGTTGAGCACAACAAAACAATTGTTGTGCACCTATTTTAATAGTAATTTTACACTTTTTTTTTAATATTTAATTAATTTAATATTTTTAGACTTTTTTTTGACTAGTTGTAAGCAACACTCGCGCAGACGCACATATTATTTATACATCATTGAAGCGAAATTCTATTTAATAAATACACTTTATTATGAGCAATTTAAGTGCCTAACTAGCTTATACTCTGTACTTTCCTAAACTGTATATCAAATGAACCAAGCTCGAGATATTTGAGGTTAGCTTGACAGCTCGAAACGGCGTCGCAACGACTACTTTTAGAGAAGATAGAAATGAAGATATATATATATATATATATATATATATAGAGAGAGAGAGAGAGAGAGAAAAGAGAATGGAGAAAAGATATATATAATAGATTCTCCATTCTTTATTCTCTATTCTCTATTCCCTTGACTTGTTATATAACCATATTACCTTTCTATGCATTTTCAACTTCCGAAAGAGACATTTCAACAATTTATGTCAACTGCCTAAAAGCAGGCAACACATAATTGGGGCGTGTGCATAGAGATGAGAGCAAAAGGCAAACGATGATTGCGTCTCGTATACAAAAAAAAATGAATATATACTCAAGCTGAAACAAGCTCCATATTGTCTACAGTACGACATATCGATAGTTGATCGATAATGCTACTGTCATAATATCGACATAATTATCAACAAATATGTTTATTATGTTAAAACATAAGTAATTTAGTCATCATCGACAAGTGCTCTGACCAGTTCACGTGCTTTAAGCCAGTCCTCACTGTAGTCTAGTACTCGAGCCACAAGTAATATAATAACTGGGTCACTGAGTGAGCTACAGCACTAATTGTCTTGGCATTGGGTCTATTTATCAGTCAAGTTATGAACGATAGTTGAGCCAAGCGCTCATATCTAGCAGAAAATATTTATGTAGCACAACAGTTGGGCGCAGTCATTAAATGACAAAGCACCGGGCGACACGCGAATGCAAATTGAACGAAATTAGTTTAATTTATGACTCGCTGTTGCAGTGTTACCAAAACAAAGGCGCTAAGACTGTAAGCAGCACAGCTGAACAATAGCAACGGAAAAATAGACAGACAGACAGAGAGCCAGGCAGGCAGAGGCATCGATTCCATACTCTAACTTTTTGTGGCATTGACGAAGGGTGATCAATTCAACTTTGAACTTGGCCACCAAACGAGTAGCTCGTGAACAACGCCCAGTAATTTGGCCATAAATCATCTTAAGAGCTTAAGTTTGGCGGCCTTCGGCAGCAATTTTCATGTCCATAATATCAGAAACCGGAAACTGCGTTGATTCCACTCAATTCGAATCGATTGACTACTCAATGCAAATTTGCATTTATTATTTTTCCAGCTAGAAAACAAAAGCGGAAGCTTGTCTCAAATAGCCGCACATGAGGTGCTAAAAGCTGAGACCCTGTCCAAAAATTACCAAAATGTAACAAGAGAACATTCACGATTTGTGTGGCACAAAAGCTTTAAAGACAACTATTAAAAATGAGACTAGGAACTGGCTTCGCGCGTTGCGATAAAACGATAATTTAGTTGAATAATTAATAAAGCTTAGCTAAGCAAGTTGACCATTTTACAGCTACATTTTACACCTGGTCGACGCTCTGCAGACGGTTAAAATCACAGTTGAAGGTCGTCTTTGACTCATACCCTGTGCTCACGTCTGCTAGCGTATAATGGGTAGCTTGAGCTTCAGCTGCTCCTCTCTTATTTTCTACACCTTCCAAGTACCTAACAGCCAAACATTATTAACTGGTTTGCTTTTATGAGGCCCACTCAGCGGTTTCACTGCCCACAGAAGAGTCACTCTAGAGATCAGTTGCCAGTCCTCTTGAGAGAGCGAGACTGTAGCAGCTGCAAATTCGGTGGGTGTTTGTATACAAACTGTAGCTTAAGTACAGGGTATCTCGAGCAGCTAACCTTAAGCCACTTTAAGTTCATAAAAGCGAAAGTCAATAAATTGGGCAAATGGCTAAATAAGCAAAGACTTAGAGCTTCCAGACCAACTTTACCCAACTATCCAAACTCGAAAAATAAACAGTTTGGCGAAGCGAATTTCGCATGTGATACGAAGCAAACACTGGGCGTTTTCGCATCGCTCTTCTAAGGAATTGCTATCGTTACGTATACGCAGTGTTGTGTGCACAGAGGTCCAACCGGTGCCTGATTGGAAACGCACTCGAGCAGCTGATGATGCTTCTGCGTCCGCTACTTGTCACCAATTCGCCCTTCAGCTGATCTAAGCAAACTATACTGTATATAAATATATATATAGATATATGCATAAAAATAAATTTGGCAATGCAAAACTGAAGCCAATGCGAAGCATCAACTGGGTCAATGGCTGACGGAAGTAATATCATCTGCCTCTAGCTCTGCGACTGCGACTGCGACTCGGCTCCGAGTGCGACTTGTTATTGTTTTAATATTGAATGCATGAACTTCCTTTTTTCGTCGTCGTTATGTTCCACTTAGAGGTTAATAAACTTGTTATACTCCAATACGGTTTGTCAATTAGCATTTGCATGCGAATCCGTTAGACAAGACCCAACTCACGCAGCCCATCCAGTTGACCCCGACCCACTGAACTTGATCTCTAGCTCAACAAAATGAAAAAAAAACACAGATATGCTGAAAAAATCATAAGAATTTCAGGGTTAAGAAGTTTTTACCATGCACGAACTTAGCTCTTAGCTCTGTTACTGAGGCTCACCTGCAAAAGAGAGAGAGAGAGAGAGGTCGTTTATTAATTATTAAAGTTGTTTGGAAAATTACGTCACATTGAAATTTTTACTAATGATTGCCCATGTTGGACGGAAATATTTTGGAGTGGTTGCTGTAGAACACATAACGCTCAACCGGTCCCCTCTTGAGTTTGTGACCCTGAACCAAAGTAGTTATAATCGCCTCATCTTACAGATTACACTAAGTATACGCATAATCGACAGCATCATTATAGAAACTGGGTCTGTGGAACTGGCTCGTTATAATTCTAAGCGATGACCCTGACTTCAGTTGATCTAGGTGTTAGCGTGTGCCCGGAAATAGGGCAATGGGCTGGCAATTAGATTATCACACGGGAAATGAATAATTTTATATATCTGCCAGGAAATTAGAAGTCGATAAAGGCAATGAATATACGAAAGGTATATTGCTTCTATATATCAATAAAAACTACATAACAATATGAAAGTATTAAAAATCATAATTATCTAGAGAAACTAGAGATTAATGTATCAATAAATATGGATTAGAAGACTTAGTTTCAGCAGCCTAACACCATAAATCCTAACTAAACACTCGGTTTGGGTATCTTCTAGTTGAGCACACTCGTCTGCATCGTATTAGCTTTGTTTTGTACCACTTTATTCGTCTAATGTGTCTGTTAATATTCAGTAATTGTTCGATTGCTTCATTAATCAATTAACTGTATGGAAATCGCAGCGCGCCATGGCAAATCGGACAATCGGCTTATCGATTGTCCGTGCGATGACAACCGTGACGCAGCACTTTCGGTTCACTAACCTAACCTTTTCGGTTGAATAACATTTCGATTTGTATTTGAACTCATTGCTATACCCTTGCCATTAAGGTATTTCAATTTTATTATAAGACATAAGAATTGGTCTAATAATGATTAGGAATCCCCACATGTGAGGAGCGATCTGTCCATCTTTTAAGAGTAGTACGTATTCGTTGAACTGCCATGTTTGATATTTTGATATTGGTTTGTTTGTTATTTGACCACACAACACATAATTGCTAAGCATGTAGACAATGGCATGGTTTGAGTCAGATCTTAACTCAGACAATCATCGATTGTCAGTCAATTTCCATTCAATTGACTCGGACGCTCAAGTATTTTGGTAGCAATTTTGTTTGTACCCAGCTCCCAAGCACTTTAAAGTGTGCAATTGTTTGATATTATTTATTTTTGTATTGAACAAACTGGAAGTGACGTCAACTGCTGACTGATTCCTCAGATCAATTAGATATATGTTCGCAATTAACTTCAAGTATCACTAGAGACTAGGTTCAAGCTCTAGCAGAGTGGAACAACAGGAAGGAAGCACACAAAATGGGCGTAGCCAGCTGTCAAGTGTTGCTACGATCAAGATCACTTTTTGTGTGAAATATTTGAGATGATGTAGAGAAAAGTTGAACTAAAGATGCTTTTATTTCAAATAATAAGTACCCCCGGTAAATGATAATTTAGAAGGTATATGCAGTAGCAGGAAATGCAAGTCTTCTTGCTTAGTATTCCAACCAATGGATAAAATAAAATAAACTAATATGAAATGCTATTTTTAAGTTAGTCGAAATTCCTGAAAGCTTAGTTTTTTTTTGTTCGAATGAAATAATAAAATGATGTACAATCAAGTCTCGTTCTCCTCAGCTAATTCGTCCATTAGCGATAGTGGTGCTATGAACTTATCACTGGCACCCAGGAAGCTAATGCCACGTGGATGGGGGGTGGGGTTATCCCAGCAGTGCTTGTACCAGGTCGTCTGCTGGCGGCTCAGTCCAAAGCCAGCGGCAATGCGGTCGATGCAGTACATCAGACAGCGCACCAAGGTTCTGATCACACGATCCCAGGTTGTGTCCGGCAGCTGCTCAATATACTCCACGCCAACTGGCGACTCAACTGTGGCAGCAGGTGCAATCGGCACTTGCGAGCAACTCAGTGGCAACTCATTAGCTACGGCAGCCATCGATGCCCCTGGAGTTGCGTGCAGGGCCAGTTCCATTTGCTCCGGAATGCCAACAACATCCTCCTCGTTATAGCACTTAGCACTACTCTGCTGCTTTAGCTCCTTGATTTGCAACCCACTGGAGCTAGACATATTGCTAGCTTTGCTTAATTTGTATGCAATGGGTCCAGTGCCTAGCCGGCGACTATTTCTAAAACTTTAACTATGCGTAGCTTAACTACTTGTTGAGATTTTGAAGACTATAAACATAAAGCCTACGAACAGCTAAGTACCAGCTTACTAAGACTTGCCCATTTGAATCAAACTAGTCGTGTTCGATATTACCTCAGCATAAGCTTGCTAAGCCTAGTGAATCTGTTCAATTCGTACCTTAATGTACCTTGATGTATCTTCATGTATCTTGATGTACATTAATGTACCTACACTTAAAACTACTTAACACAGCTGTACACTTAGCTAATGTTATCTATAAGCTACTTTATGCAGCTATTTCTTATAGTACCTTAATGTACCTTGATGTACCTTAGTGTACCTTAATGTACCTAAATTTATTTTCATGTATCTTGATGTACCTTAATCTACATTAATGTACCTACACTACACACTACTTAACACAGCTGTACACTTATCTAATGTGATCTATATAAGCTACTTTATGCAGTTCTTTCTTATTGTATCTTAATGTACCTTGTTGTACTTTAGTGTACCTTAATGTACCTTGTTGTACCTTAATATACCTTGTTGTACCTTAATGTACCTTGTTGTACCTTAATGATGTACCTTAGTGTAATTAAATGTACCTTCATGTATCTTAATGTACCTTAATGTACATTATTGTACCTACACTTCAAACTACTTAACACAGCTGTACACTTAGCTAATGTTATCTATAAGCTACTTTATGCAGTTATTTCTTATTGTACCTTAATGTACCTTGATGTACCTAAGTGTACCCAAATGTACCTTCATGTATCTTAATGTACCTTCATGTATCATAATGTACCTTAATGTACATTAATGTACCTACACTTCAAGCTTAACACAACGGTACACTTAGCTAATGTTATCTATATAAGCTACTATATGCAGTTCGCTTTTATTGTACCACTGCCAAACCTATAGATACATAGAGCACCTAGAGCATCTTACAATATCAACTGTATCTTATCTGTGCCTAACGCGTATATTCAAAGAATGGATACTGCAGTAGCCCATTTTAGTAAATCCAATCCCCTAACATGCCACAGGTAACACCGAGCACTTTATCAAGACATTGGTCTATTTTCCAGTAATTTCAGACATATTTGAAGAAGAAACTCATTTTCGGGTAAGCAAATCAGTCAGATGTAAACATAGTTAGTGTTTTACATTAATACCTTTAAGTGGCGCATTAGTCTCTGAAATACGGTACTTTTCAACTGGTTTCATTGCTTCTTACCTCCAACTCTAACGTTCTCTGTGGCAATCTCAGCTCAACTTAAAATTATTTTTTTTTGGTTGCTTCATTGCGGGTTTTTTCTACAACCTTGAGAATTTTTTAGTAGAAGTTTGTCGGCTCGTTACCAAAAGACAGAAACAAAAACAAATACAAAAACCAAAGAAATACAAAAACAATTTTCATGTTTGGTTAATTTTATGGATATTCTGTGTTAAGTCATTTAACGGAGGAGGGCGCACAGCTGCTCCCTACTTCAAAATCTGCGTAGCTTGTGCTACTGCTGCTGCTGCTTCTTCTTCGTCGGCTATTTGCAAAATTAATATTTACGAGTGTCTGTCTACAAATCGATGCCTTAAATGTAGCAAAACAATGCAAACGTCTTCGAGTAATACGATTTTGAAATGCACTCATTAGCCGCAGTCGCCACACGATATGTGACTTGAAATTCTATTGGCATTTTTTCTTGCTAGCAATAAAAGAAATAGTTTGCATTGAACTGCAATTAAGAGTGTGCCATTAGCGTGAGTTAATTTGAATAGGAATGACAGGTCGTCTAAATAGACAGACAAACACAAAGATCTATTATCAATGTTGTGACAAGCGACAATGGTTTGTTGCCTGAACGATATTGTCTGATTTATAGATGTAGAGGATAAACTTGTTTTTACCCAAATTGGTTTAAGGTAGATAGGTCTAATTTTCAATCTTTACTTTTGGTCTTGCATAAGCTTCTTGTAATTCTGTTTATGCTATTTCAATCCACACACACGTCTTACGATCAAAGTGATATGCCTAGCACTAAGAGTTATCGATATTCCAGCAACTGCACAGCCTAACTACGCCTCCTCTACAGGGTATACGAAAGTCTCAAAAACAATTAACTGTGCTCAATACAAAAGAAGAGTCATAAATAAGTCCGAAGCTAGTGGCAAGCCCAGTCGAATCTAGAATGCTGTTAAGTAGAATAAGTTATGCTTGACATATGCGAGAAACCCCCAGAAAAAAACCGTTTAGTCATTCTTACTAGACAAGACTATCCGGTCTCCGCTTATTAAAGCTGCGTCAGCATTGAATACCCTTTAGCTTGATTGCAGATATGGCAACAGGCTGTATGCTCACAGCTCACAGCTCACAAGCCGCGCCCACACAACTAATTTCGGAGTCATGTACCCCTAAAAAAAAGCGCCAAAAAAGCGCATTTGACTGCAACTTGGTCGACTGTAAAAAGTGGGTCAAAGACAACGACTCACAAAATTCTCGATTACCATTAGCACCAAATCGCTAAAAACGACAACAGCAACAAATACAGCTAAGACTAGCTAACGATTGTATTCGGAAATTTTCAGTTGCCGTTAGACGAGCCGCGTTGCCAACTTAATTGCAGCACTGCGCACCAATTGGCAGCGTCGCTACCTTGACTCGAATGCCGCTGGTTGAATGTCATCGATTGTCAAAGCCCCAAGCCTGGCTCTGTCAAGAACTTGTGAAGAATATTACATAAAAAGCTAAAGAAAAAGAAAACAAAGTGATGAAAATAGTAAAAAATTCAAGTCAATCTGGTTCTTAGCTCGAATCTGTGGTTTTTTGGTGGCGTTGTCAGACGAACTGTGAAACTGACTTTGCGATTAAGTTTCTTGAATTTCAAGTCCAGCTTAGAAACGGTTTGTCTTTCATCTTTTAAATTCAAATTATATTACAAATTCAACTGGAAATCTTCTTCAATTTATGATCTACTAGTTAGGCTTTAACTTAAACTTAAGCATTTCCGATTCATTTCTATTGAAAGAGACAAATATCGAGAGAATAAAACTTGTAAGCTAGTTATTCATTAACATTAATCAATTAAACTTGATTACAAAATAACTGTCTGATTGCGCCACTAGATTTCTTGATATCAGTTGTTTCACCTTGCTCTTCTAGGTGCTTCCCAAAGGCATCAATAAACAATTGGCACGTGTTGAAAATTGAAGTAAGTTTATAGCCAGTTTGAAAGCTCAAAGTTGGCGCTGCCCGACTAGAAGATACCTTAAGCGATTCCTATATGCATACATTTATATAAATTAACAGCTACACAATAAAATGCCATGATTGTAAAAGAAATATAAAAGAATTTCATTAAAGCTGTAGCAACAAAAACAAAAGTGCAGAACAAATTTATGAAAATACATGCAAAATGACGCCAGCTTGAAAGATGTATGAGAATTAATTTAATAATAAATTTCGATAACGGTTTTATTCGATAATAAGAAACGTAATTGATCTGCACAAAAAATTTGCAAGTCTCTAGCTCTAATAGATTATGAGATCAATGCGGACAGACAGAACGGACGGACACACATGGCAAGATCGACTCAGCTCGTCTTTCTGACTAAGAATATATATTCTTTAAGGAGTCTACGACGCATTCTTCAGCCTGTTACATACACTGCAACAAATCCATATTACCCTGATTACCCGCGTTTTGAACAAAAATAATAATACCTTTGTGCTTGCGAGCTTTCCATTTGAACTGCACAACCTGCTTACACTTTATGGAAAGTTTACAAATTTCTATCCCTAAATTTTATATGTGGGAATTTTTGCACAGCGTAGAAGAGTTTTGAATACGATGAGAGGCACACGAATCTCGTATCTCAATATAAATAGTTAAAAGATCTATGCTAAGTATGTCACGATCTGCTGCTCAGAGACTCGAAGACAATTTTGTGATTCAATGTTACGACTTTGGGCGATGTCAATATGTTGGCATTGTTGTTGGCTCTTAATTCTGAGCCATTCTCTTCTCAGTTTTATAATAATTCACATGCAAGCGGAAATAATTATGAAATTTACAAAACAATCCAGCGAAGTGGACACAGTTCGTAGAAACTCAATGGGCTGCAGTGGGGTGTTCCAAAGCCCTTATAAAAATGTTCAATCATGCAACTGATTACAGGCAAGTCGAGACACAAGCTACGATCACTTGCATTAACAATTTGCTGAGAGATCTATCAGTACTAAAGATTCATTTAATGACAAGCCGGAAATCGTTTTCCTAATCGATCAGGCGAGGCATCCAGCCTAATATACCCTTAACAGTTCTCTTCTTGTTCCCCACCAATATCAATGCCATTTCTATCCAATTCCTCCTAGTTAGCATCACTTGTTGTTAGGTTTTTGTATTCAAAGTGTGCCAGAGATCGTGTTCACGTATATAGCATAGGTTCGAAACCATTGAAAGAAATCGGATATGATCAAAACTAGATTTGGCTGACTGACATTTGCTAGTATCGCTTCACTGATCTTGTTTAATTTACTAAACTCGACCTTTGTTTCCATGGTTTTTTCTGACTGAAGTCGATAATTAGATCAGCCTCAAATCATGTGAAACCACTCTATTTTGATCAATTCGCATGATTTTAATACTGTTAAAAAAATGCTCAAGTTTTGTGGTCTTGATTGGTCATTCGATTATGCTGTCAAGACGCCTATCATTATTATGTAGTATAGTGTACTTTTGAGAAATATTTCTCTTCAACAGCTAATATTTTATTTTGAGACTCGTGTTTGAGTTGACTGACGAAGATTTATCGTAGTGTATTAATGAGTTAGTGTCTCAGCTAACGCACTTAAGCCGCAGCCCCATTTTATCAGGAATTTTGGGTATTAATAATATTGTCTTATGGCGTAGGCATAAAGTCCTCAGTATATTATCTAGTTAAATCGTTCTCTAAGCAGCCTCTTAGCGTATAGTCTATATAAAATAGCGTACTTAACTTGTTCGCCTCTCGCAGCGTACGATTGTAACCCCATCTCAACCCGATGTCAGCGTCGCAGTGCAATAAAAACATGAGCTCGCGTATATTTGTGATTAGCAAGTATTAAGTATTAAGTTTCCTTTCTTTTAATGGATTCTATTGTAGAACTAATTGTCGATTCAGTTGCTCGTTGTCAGCGAGACTCTCCGGTTGGGTATGCAGTCCCTACTGTTCTGTTTACTGCATCTGGGCGCAGCAGCTGCCCAGAGCTACCTTGGCAATATCTTGTTCGATGGCATAGAGCTGCTGAGACGTGGTCAGAGTCAAATGGATCTCGAGGCGGTCGACGACCGCGATCAGATACTTCCTGAGTACGATTTCATAGTCGTTGGCGCTGGTACCGCGGGCTGTGCGTTGGCCGCGCGCCTCTCCGAGAATCCCGACTGGCAGATACTGCTAATAGAGGCGGGCGGACCGGAGAACTATATCATGGACATGCCCATTATGGCGCACTATCTGCAGCTGGGTGAGATGAACTGGAAATATCGCACACAGCCCTCCAACAGCTACTGCCTGGCGATGAACAACAATCGCTGCAACTGGCCGCGCGGCAAGGTGATGGGCGGCAGCTCCGTGCTCAACTATATGATGTACACGAGAGCCAATCGGCATGACTACGATCGCTGGAAGGCCCTGGGCAATCCCGGCTGGGGCTACGATGAGCTGCTGCCCTATTTTCGCAAATACGAGGGTTCACTCATACCCGATGCGGACTCGGGTCAAGCGCGTCATGGCCGAAAGGGACCTGTGAAGATCAGCTACTCCGCCTATCACACACCTATTGCTACGGCATTCGTGGAGGCGTCGCAGCAGGCGGGTCTGACGCGAGGCGACTACAATGGAGTCAATCAACTGGGAGTCTCCTACCTGCAAGCCAACATTGGCAATGGCACACGCTGCAGCTCCAATCGAGCCTATCTCTATCCGCTCAAAGGCAAGCGACAGAACCTGCACATTAAGAAGAAAGCGCTCGTCACCAAGGTGCTCATAGATCCGCAAACAAAGGCCACATATGGCATCATGATGCAGGCTGATGGACGCATGCAGAAGGTGCTGGCTCGCAAGGAGGTAATTGTCTCCGCGGGTGCCATCAACACGCCCCAGTTGCTGATGCTCTCGGGTGTGGGTCCTGCCAAGCATTTGCGTGAGGTGGGCATCAAACCTATTGCGGATCTGGCCGTGGGCTTCAATCTACAGGATCATGTGGCTCCGGCTCTAACATTTCGGTGCAATGCCAGCACGCTGAAATTTAACAACTTCCTGAACTCCGATGCGGTAGGCAGCTTTCTCCGTGGCGAGGGACCGCTACGAAGTGCTGGCGGAGTGGAGGCTATATCTTTTTATGCTCTGGATGCTGCAGAAGGTGCCAAAGGCTGGGCAGACATGGAGCTCTTCGTTGCGGGCACCAGCATACATTGGAATCAGGCACTGCGAGTGGCTCTCGGCATCCGGGGGGACGTCTATGAGTCTGTCTTTAGCGAGCTGGAGCGCAGCAATGCAAATGCTTTCATGATCTTTCCAATGATACTGCGCGCCAAGAGTCGCGGTCGTATTAGGCTCAAGAGTCGCAATCCGCTGCAACATCCACTGATCGATGCCAACTACTTTGCACATCCCTATGATCTCAATATAACAGTGCGAGGTATTAAACAGGCGATCAGCCTATTAGATCAGCCTGCATTTCGGGCAATCAACGCTCGAGTGCTGGAGAAGCAGCTGCCCGCCTGCCGCCGTTACGGCTACCAGACCGACGCCTACTGGTCGTGCTATGCGCGTCACTTCACCTTCACGATCTATCACTATTCTGGCACGGCCAAGATGGGACCACGCAGTGATCCCAGCGCCGTGGTGGATGCACGCCTGCGCGTTCATGGCATTAGCAATCTGCGCGTGGTGGATGCCAGCATAATGCCCTATCTGGTTGCAGGTCATCCCAATGGGCCGGTCTATTTAATAGCCGAGAAAGCCACCGACATGATCAAAGAGGATCACAACTACACTTAGGAGCTCCATAGTAAAAGATACCAAAGTAATATATAAAATATATCCACAGGGAAACCATAAAGAAGATTATGGTGATTAAGAATATTTTCACAAAGAAAGAAAAGTTCTCAAGCAGAAATGTGATCACATATGCAAAGGTTGACTAATAAATAAATTAATTGCCTTGTGCAGGTTCGACAGGCTGAAGGTCATATAAATGATCTCGTCTGCGCGTTTGCTCGGTTTGCTCATTGCATAGATTTTAAGGCTAAGTTGATAAACTTAAGAACGAGAAGAGAAAATTGCCTCAAGCGTAAGTCGTCGTGAATGTGATATGTGGTCCTGCGATCACCCAGCGATCGCTGGGTATAATGAAAACAAAATCAATTAATTGAAAAAATCAATTCTGATGAAATATGTTATAGGTGATCTTGGCAGTGCTCTTGTCGATCAAGCAGACAGATTTATGTGTTGCTGCGCGGTGGGTTGACATATTATTGGCAATAAAAATGAGTTGAGCGCGTGTCTTACGCTCTTCCGCATTGATCGTACGAACAAGAGAATATTGATCTTCGAACGCGACAATCGATGATAATTTTGGCCCTAGATTGCCCTTTGGTCGCCTGCAAAGTGCACAGCTTTGCGCAGCTTTGCGCAGCTTCCGCAATTTGGTCAATGGTCGGAGCTGATGCTGTGTGATCGTGTGAACGATCAGCTCAAGTCAATGTCAGTGCGTTCGCTCAAATCTCGCTTTCAATTTGATTTTGTGAACGTGTCGACAGTCATGGCAATGCTGCTGCTGTGTGTCTGCTGCTGCTGCTGCTTCTGCTGCTGCTGCTGCTGCTGCTGCTTGTTGCCACTCTGAAGATTCTTGGCATTAAAACAACGAGCGCGCAGCCGATCGAGCCCGCTGCCGAAAAGATTCGCAAGCACGATTCGGCCGAAACGGCGACGCTTATATTTAATATTAAATTGAACTTGGCCAGTGCGATTGTCAGCATTACCAGTTAAGAGTCCGATTGGGCAAGACGAACTAACGGCACGGGCCACGCATGCGCGCATAGTCCGTAGTCTGAAGGCGAACCCGCAAACGTCTTAGAACGCAGCAAGAACTAAACAAACTCAACAAACTCTGTTCTCTGTTCTCTTTTATTTTTTTAATTTTTTGTTTATACAAACTCATTGAAAAGTGCAAGTGAAGTGCTACCTAAGAACATGGCCAAAATGAATCATTGCCAACTACTACTGTGGCTGATGGCTAGCCTAGCTCTGGCTGCTGGCCAGAGCGAAAATGTGATACTCGAGACCATCAATTTTCTGCGACGCGGCCAATCGGAAGTGGAACTGGAGAACTATGACAATACCATACAAATGGAGAGCGAATATGATTTTATAGTCGTCGGCGCTGGCACGGCCGGCTGTGCGTTGGCCGCACGTCTCTCCGAGAACCCAAAGTGGAAGGTGCTGCTGCTGGAGGCGGGTGGACCGGAGCGCCTGGTCATGGATGTCCCGATTGTGGCGCACTTCCTGCAGCTCGGCGAAATGAACTGGAAATATCGCACACAACCCTCAGATCACGCCTGCCTGGCGATGAACAACAATCGCTGCAACTGGCCGCGTGGCAAGGTGATGGGTGGCAGCTCGGTTCTCAACTACATGATGTATACGCGTGGCAATCGCCGAGATTACGATCGTTGGGAAGCCCTGGGCAATCCCGGCTGGAGCTGGAAGGATGTGCTACCATACTTTAAGAAATACGAGGGCAGCAGCGTCCCAGATGCCGAGCCAGACTTTGTGGGACGCGATGGCCCCGTGAAAATAAGCTATGTCAACTGGCGCTCCAAGATTTCGGAGGCCTTCGTTGACGCGGCGCAACAGGATGGCTTGAAATATCGCGACTACAATGGACGTATTCAGAACGGCGTCGCCTTCCTGCACACAACCACACGCAACTCTACGCGCTGGAGCTCCAATCGTGCCTACCTTTACCCACTCAAGGGCAAGCGCCCAAACCTGCACGTGAAGAAGAACGCGCTGGTCACCAAGGTGCTCATTGATCCGCAAACAAAGACTGCGTATGGCATCATGGTGCAGACCGACGGACGCATGCAGAAGGTGCTGGCTCGTAAGGAGGTGGTTGTCTCGGCGGGCGCCATCAACACGCCCCAGTTGCTGATGCTCTCGGGTGTGGGTCCCGCCAAGCATCTGCGTGAGGTGGGCATCAAGCCCATTGCAGATTTGGCTGTAGGCTACAATCTGCAGGATCATACGGCTCCAGCGGTTACCTTTACAACGAATGCAACATCTCTGAAATTCGAGGACTTTTCCGATCCCACATGGCTGACTCGCTTCAACCGTAGAGAAGGACCGTATGGTTCGCCCGGCGGCTGTGAGGCCATTGCCTTCTGGGATTTGGATCATGAGCGCGACGAGGATGGCTGGCCAGATATTGAACTGTTCTTGGTGGGCGGCTCCATGTCCTCCAATCCAGCCATATCGCGTGCCTTTGGCTTAAAGAAGTCCATTTACGATTCGTTGTTTGCAGAGATTGAGGACAAGTCGCTGAACGCATTCATGATCTTCCCCATGATACTACGACCGAAGAGTCGCGGTCGCATCATGCTCAAAAGCAGTGATCCCTTCAAGTATCCGCTGATTCATGCTAATTACTTTGCCCATCCCTACGACGTGGACATCTCGGTGCGGGGCCTTCTTAAGGCCATTAGCCTGATGGAACAGCGGGGCATGAAAGCCATTGAAGCCAAACTGTGGGAACGTAAGATTCCCACATGCAAGCAGCATCCCTACAAGAGCTGGGCCTACTGGGCCTGCTATGTGCGACACTTCACTTTCACCATTTATCACTATTCAGGCACCACCAAGATGGGACCCAAGTCCGACCGAGCGGCCGTTGTAGATGCCCGCCTGCGCGTGCACGGCATACGCAACTTGCGTGTCGCAGATGCCAGCATCATGCCCGAGATCATGTCCGGTCATCCCAATGGGCCGGTCTTCATGATCGCTGAGAAAGCCGCCGATATGATCAAGCAGGACTATGGCTATATCAAATAAACGCGAAGCCTAACGTTAGCTTAGGTTTAATTTTACTTCAGGTTCAAGCGCCCGTTCAACAAGTCCCAACTTCAAGTGCTTTGAGCTGTAATCTACTTCGGATACCCCTGAACGGGCCTTTAGTTAGATCTTCCCTTCCATTTGTTCTCCTCCATAATGAACTGATTTTGAGTTAAGCTAGTTTCTAAGACCACAATAAATATTCTAAGAGACATTTAAAATTCTCCACGGGTTTTTGGATGTTGCCCCTCCACTTAAAACAGGTCGTTCTTTTCCAGCGGCGAGCTTCGATGGATGATAAGCATTTCAGCTTTGGGGCTTGGTAACGTGCCGGTACGGGCTTTGACATTGACATTGAAAGCCATTTCGTTGTCACTCAACAGCAGACTTGTATCTTATGAATATTATTTATTTTCATATAAATACATATATCTATAAAATAGGTATATATAATATAGACAGATATTACTAACCGTTTATGTGTGTTAGTGTATGTAGTTATATTAATGTTTCAGTATCTTTAACTGTATCTGTATCTGTATCTGTATCTGTATCTGTATCTGTATCTGTATCTGTATCTGTATCTGTATCTGTATCTGTATCTGTATCTGTATCTGTATCTGTATCTGTATCTGTATCTGTATCTGTATCTGTATCTGTATCTGTATCTGTATCTGTATCTGTATCTGTATCTGTATCTGTATCTGTATCTGTATCTGTATCTGTATCTGTATCTGTATCTGTATCTGTATCTGTATCTGTATCTGTATCTGTATCTGTATCTGTATCTGTATCTGTATCTGTATCTGTATCTGTATCTGTATCTGTATCTGTATCTGTATCTGTATCTGTATCTGTATCTGTATCTGTATCTGTATCTGTATCTGTATCTGTATCCTGTATCTGTATCTATCTGTATCTGTATCTGTATCTGTATCTGTATCTGTATCTGTATCTGTATCTGTATCTGTATCTGTATCTGTATCTGTATCTGTATCGTATCTGTATCTGTATCTGTATCTGTATCTGTATCTGTATCTGTATCTGTATCTGTATCTGTATCTGTATCTGTATCTGTATCTGTATCTGTATCTTACTGTATCTGTATCTGTATCTGTATCTGTATCTGTATCTGTATCTGTATCTGTATCTGTATCTGTATCTGTATCTGTATCTGTATCTGTATCTGTATCTGTATCTGTATCTGTATCTGTATCTGTATCTGTATCTGTATCTGTATCTGGTATCTGTATCTGTATCTGTATCTGTATCTGTATCTGTATCTGTATCTGTATCTGTATCTGTATCTGTATCTGTATGTATCTGTATCTGTATCTGTATTGTATCTGTATCTGTATCTGTATCTGTATCTGTATCTGTATCTGTGTATCTGTATCTGTATCTGTATCTGTATCTGTATCTGTATCTGTATCTGTATCTGTATCTGTATCTGTATCTGTATCTGTATCTGTATCTGTATCTGTATCTGTATCTGTATCTGTATCTGTATCTGTATCTGTATCTGTATCTGTATCTGTATCTGTATCTGTATCTGTATCTGTATCTGTATCTGTATCTGTATCTGTATCTGTATCTGTATCTGTATCTGTATCTGTATCTGTATCTGTATCTGTATCTGTATCTGTATCTGTATCTGTATCTGTATCTGTATCTGTATCTGTATCTGTATCTGTATCTGTATCTGTATCTGTATCTGTATCTGTATCTGTATCTGTATCTGTATCTGTATCTGTATCTGTATCTGTATCTGTATCTGTATCTGTATCTGTATCTGTATCTGTATCTGTATCTGTATCTGTATCTGTATCTGTATCTGTATCTGTATCTGTATCTGTATCTGAATCTGTATCTGTATTTGTATCTGTATTTGTATCTGTATCACTTGTCTATACATTTATAAACACCATCTACATCAATTTTCTCATATCTTCCGTTCTTTCATCACATTTATCTGCACTCACACATAGACAACAACATACTCATTTGCTTCTATATCTTCATTTGCATTGAAAGCCTAATATTAGTTCGTTTTGTGTACGTTTCTTCTATAGATTAATGTATTATTCGTTCTCATTGTTTACGTTGTTTCTCAGCTGTGTTTTTATTTTTTGTTTTGCCAATTTTCATGCTAATCAACAGACAGCAACAAAAATAACAACAGCAATTCCTAACAACATTATCAAATTGAAAGCCCTGAAGTCTGCGACTTCGGCCAAATCAAATGCCGCCTTTTTGTTTATGGTTGATTTTTGTTTAAGCTCTTTTTTCAGATTTATTAAATGCTGTTACTCGTTTTTATTGTTGCGGAAGCGATATGCGAGTGACATTCAAATAATTGGGCTCCGCTTTAATACCCTGCATAACGTGATATGTATACAGTTGGCTCAACTTTGTCTGACAGTGGCGTCTCTAAATCGTAGTGGGCTTCAGAGTTTGTTTACAGAGTATTCTACAGTCGACGCCCAACAATTTCGCACATAATTAACTTAAGTTGGTTTTATTGCTAAAGTCTTTATTGTTGCCTTAGGGTATCTCTAGTTCTATAGTTGCCTTGATTTGGCACAAGCACTATCTAAAGTAATTTTCCTAGTTATAATTTTATGTCTCGAAGCAAATAGGGTCGCAGACGAAAAATGTATCTACGGCCCCATTAAATATTGTGTTATTATACAGAATGAAGAGATGAGCTTGATATACCTTTAAACTTCAGTATTGCGACGTTAACAATCGAAAAAAATTAAAAAAATAATAGTATTTGAAAATTAAGATTTAAAAACCTTCTAATTTCATGCATAAAGATAAGACTTAAATGCCGAATCAGTATATAGCTTGGAGTTTAAGGCTTTACGATAAAAAATTTATTTGGTCATTAAACAAATAGGCCATTCAATGTATTTCATAGTTCCGTGCTTTCGATGACATTAGAAACTCACATTTAACGTATTTTATATTCGACACCTGAAAGTCTGCAACAAAACTATGCTGGACGAGAAAAGCTCACGATGTTCAGCTAAAAGCGCTCTCCAGAAATGTATCAATATCTTATTCATACTTAAAGTATTCATTGCTGTCAATCACACAGTAACTAGCAAACATGTATACATACACACATTCTTAATTTAACAAATGCAATCCCAGCAAACGTTCCGTGCGCGTCCTATTTTGTGTGGGCCGTTGGAGTTTGGTTGGGGATTACGGCTGTGGTTATCTCTGCCTCCGCTAGCCTCCAGCCAGCCTAAAAGTCGGCACTTTCATTATCAAAGCATCAAATATTCATGAATTCAGATTGGGCGATGCCCGGGGCCCGGGGCCCGGGGCCCGGGTGCACAGGTGACTGAAAACTCCGGCAGACGGGCAGAGCTGACTGAGTAGAGCGACCAAAAAACCAGCGACCAGATTTGCAAGTGGTTGCCAGGGGATTGCAAGCACTTGCATACTTATTTTCAATATGCCGGACAGATCGGACGAATGTCTGCGCCCCGGGCATGTCATCGCTATTGTGGGGTGGTTTCCAGCCGCTGCAATGCACAACTAAACAAAGGCCATCGTGGGCAGGAGGCTGACAGAGGGTTGCTGTCAGTTGAAAGCCCGTTTAATCTGCCCTGATTGCGCTTGATACGTTCGAGGCTCGTAATTATGTTTTCTTTCAACTTTGTCATGGGAAAAAAACGAAATAAAATATATATAAAAAATGCTTAGGTTGAGCGTGACTGACTAGAAGTTATCCTGTACAACGTCATTTTTCAAGAATCAAAAAAAAATGTTGAAAATGGGAATGGGAAAGCGATAATTATCGATTTATGGAATCTTATTTATCGAAAGAAATATTTATGCTTGCATTAAATGACAATTTATGAGAAGTAAGACAAATGACTTTAATAATGATAAATTTAATGATAATCTGTCTATATGAGACTATATTCAGATTTCATATATGAGAATGAGGGAAGTGAAATTTGGCTATAAATTGTAATTTTTGTAAACTTCTTCCTTTTTCAAGGAATACCCCACTTTTAGATACATTCAATTATAACAGGGTATAATTATAAGAGAACATTTGATGGGGTTGCTCATAGGGTTGACTGCTCGTCACAATGACAGCCAACGATTCCATGATAAAATTAGAGTCACAGAGTTAGAAAGTCAGAAGAACTTTGCTCCGGCTGTTGGCTAAGGTGTTTATAGTTTCCGCTGTTCTGTCGTTAAGCCGATGCAGATGCCCCATAAACTACGGCATAACCAGTAAGTAACCATAACAGCGACAACGAAGTCTAGAAAAGCGGGCAAAATGAAGCCGTCAAAATGCCAACTGAGCCGACTAACTGCGACACGCACAAAAGCCAAGACAAGCCAAGCCAAGCCAAGCCAAGGGCAAAGCTGGCTGACATAGAGAGCTATATAGTCGGTGAGCAAAAAGAGATAGAGAGAAAGAGAGAGAGAAAAGAAGCGTTAATGGGTAGCTAGTAATAAAATGCGTTGTGATGGGTGAAGCACCAAGTTAAAGAAGCCAACGCTGCACAGTGTCATCAAAGATATTGAAAACGATTACGAACTGAATGGAAAACAGGTAGAAAATTGAGAGGAGGTAAAGGGAGCAGCTGCAAAAAACTAAAGTTAAAGATGCAAAAAGTTTGGAAGGACCAACACTAGATAAAAACTTAGAAAATACCCTAAGAGGTTTCAGGTAAACACGACATACAGATTGCGTACAGCTAAGATAGGAGCTGCTCCACTGTGCGCAGACAGCATTCAAATGGACCAGATACCAAATTTCTCCGACACAGTCGCCAGCGAATCGACCGAGTGTGCGGTTCTACAATGATGATCAGGCAGCGTCTTCCACTATGCCAACTTCTGCTGCTGGCCTTAGCGCTCACAGCAGCAGCTAGGACACTAGAAACAGTCACTTCGAACAGGCAACAGCAAATCGATATAGAGCAGCTGCGTCAACTGGGTCTGGGCAATATAATCAGCCTGCCCAGCTATAGCGATCGTAAGTGCTGTGTTCCTGTGTCCCTTGGTTCCGCCTAACTTCTTCCAACTCCTTCGACAGTGCCTCGTGGCAGCTACGACTTCATTGTGGTCGGAGCTGGCGCCGCTGGCTGCACGCTAGCCGCACGCCTCTCCGAGAACCCCAACTGGAATGTGTATTTGATAGAGGCGGGCGGCGTAGAGAACATAATTCACATGATACCACTACTGGCGCCCATGCTGCAGCTGACCGCATCCAACTGGAACTACCAGTCGCAGCCTCAGCCTCTCGCCTGTCGCGGCATGTTCGGCAACCGCTGTGCTCTACCGCGTGGCAAGGTTCTGGGCGGCACCAGCTCCATTAACTTCATGATCTACAATCGCGGCAATCGAAGGGACTTTGATGCCTGGGCTGAGCGGGGCAACCATGGCTGGAGCTACGATGAGGTGCTGCCCTACTTCCTGCGCAGTGAATCCGCTCAGCTGCAGGGCTTGGAGCACTCGGCGTATCACAACCACAGCGGGCCCCTCAGCGTAGAGGATGTGCGCTTCCGCAGCAGCTTGGCCCACGCATATGTGCGTGCCGCTCAGCAGGCGGGACACTCACGCACCGACTACAACGGGGAGTCGCAGCTGGGCGTTTCCTATGTGCAGGCGAACACATTGAAGGGTCGACGTCACAGCGCCTTTCGGGCCTACATTGAGCCTGTGCGACCGCAACGCAAGAATCTCCATATTCTGACCATGGCACGAGTCACGCGAGTGCTGATTGATGAGTCCACCAAATCCGCCATCGGCGTGGAGCTGCTGCATGGCGGTCGTCGCTTTGAAGTGCGTGCACGCAAGGAAGTCATCCTCTCCGCGGGGGCGTTTAACTCACCGCAGCTGCTGATGCTGTCGGGCATCGGACCGGAGGACAATCTGCGAGCTATCGGATTGCCCGTAGTACAGGCCCTGCCTGTGGGTAAACGTCTCTACGATCACATGTGCCACTTTGGACCCACATTTGTGACCAACACCACGGGCCAGACGCTCTTCAGCTCGCGCTTATCACTGCCCACGTTGAAGGACTTTACGCTAGGACGCGCGGACACGCAGCTATCTAGCATTGGAGGTGTCGAGACGCTGACCTTCATTAAGATACCTGCGACGCAAACGCCGCACAGTCAGCCCGATATTGAGCTCATCCAGGTGGACGGCAGCTTAGCCAGCGATGAGGGCACAGCGCTCAAGCGAGGCGCCAATTTTAAAGATGAGATCTACGATAAGATGTACCGACATCTGGCCTGGCGCCAGCAAGATCACTTTACCTTCCTCGTCATGCAATTCAAGCCAAAGTCCGTGGGCCGACTCTGGCTGCACAATCGCAATCCACTCGAATGGCCTCGCATCGATCCAAAGTACTTCACCGCCGAACAGGATGTGGAGCAACTGCTGGAAGGCATCAAGGAGGCCATACGCATCACCCAGATGCCAGCACTCCAGGCCGTAGGGGCTAGGCTCTTAGATCGCCCTGTGCCTGGCTGTGAGGACAAGCCGTTTGGGTCAGACGACTATTGGCGCTGCTCCATTCGCACCATGTCCTACACCCTGCACCACCAGGTGGCCACCTGCCGCATGGGACCTGCTGCAGACCCAACTGCCGTGGTCAGCCCAGAGCTGAAGGTGCATGGCATGCGCAAGCTACGCGTCGTGGACACCAGTGTCATTCCTCTGCCACCCACCGCCCACACAAATGCGGCTGCTTTCATGATTGGCGAGAAGGCGGCTGACTTGATAAAGGCCAACTGGCATTGATGCTAGCAGACGAGCACGAATAATGGCCGTATGAGTAGCTGTGCTGCGTCGAATGCTAAATGGGTTAATAAAATTCGAGTCGAAAGCTCGCGAGAATGAGTGTGGAGAAGGTAAATAAGAACGAGTCTAACGGGTTCTATCCGTAACGAAAGTGCACGAAACCGATAGAGTCACAATTTATTAGTTTTTTTTTTGTTTTTTTGGGCTATAAACAATATATTTGCTGTGTAAGTTAAATGAACCGGCGGCAATTAAATGCGAAAATTATTCAATGAGTGCATTATTCAGATCGCTAATTATGCATACCCTGTACAAGCCTGGAGCCCACTGGAGGCAGTTTCAGCTAAGTAGCATTCATCTGTAGCTTCTAAGCCATTCAACCAACAATATTATTTATATAAGAAATATAGAAAGTAAATGAAAACAAACAAAACAAACTTTTTGATACAGAACTATATTTATTCGAACATATCTTACAGAGTGTTTCAGAAACGGGCCAAGGAATTCATTGATTCATGTACTTTTCAGACAGGGTTTAGCACTTATCAGTACTTGAGTCTGATGAAAGGCTGAAAGCAAAATGACTCGCTGCTCCGATCTGAGAGATTTATAAGGCTTAATTTCCACGTCGTTGACATCAGTAAAATGTTACTTTTGGCACTGCTAACAACACAATTTGTGGCTGCCTTAGCCAATCCTCGACTCATCGAACAGCTGCAGCAGCTAGGCCTGATCAATTTGCTGGAGCAGAAGGTGCGTCCGAATGGTGAGTGGAGGCATAGTAAGGTGTAACCCCAATTATGGAAAGAAACTATTTGCAGTGCCTCAGAATTGGACTAGCTACGACTTCATTGTAGTTGGAGCTGGCGCCGCTGGCTGCACGCTGGCTGCGCGCCTCTCCGAGAATCCCAACTGGCAGGTAGCGCTCATCGAGGCAGGCGGTGTGGAGAACCTTGCCCACCTGACGCCTCTGCTGGCCGGATACCTGCAGGTGACAGCTTCGAATTGGAATTATCTTTCGGAGCCACAGCGTCTCGCCTGTCGCGGCATGCTCGGCAACCGCTGTGCTCTACCGCGTGGCAAGGTTCTGGGCGGCACCAGCTCCATTAACTTCATGATCTACAATCGCGGCAATCGAAGGGACTTTGATGCCTGGGCTGAGCGGGGCAACCATGGCTGGAGCTACGATGAGGTGCTGCCCTACTTCCTGCGCAGTGAATCCGCTCAGCTGCAGGGCTTGGAGCACTCGCCGTATCACAACCACAGCGGGCCCCTCAGCGTAGAGGATGTGCGCTTCCGCAGCGGCTTGGTGCACGCCTTTGTGGCTGCCTCTGTGGAGGCGGGCCATCCGCACACCGACTACAACGGCCAGTCGCAGCTTGGGGTATCCTATGTGCAGAGCAACACCCTCAATGGACGCCGGCACAGTGCCTACTCTGCCTACATACAGCCCGTGCGGGACCTGAGGCCCAATCTGCACATCTTTCCGTTTACCAGCGTGACACGCGTGCTCATCGACGAGGATACTAAGTCAGCGCAGGGTATTGAACTTGTCTACAAACAGCGCAAATACACATTTAGAGCCCGCAAGGAAGTCATCCTCTCCGCGGGGGCGTTTAACTCACCGCAGCTGCTGATGCTGTCGGGCATCGGACCGGAGGACAATCTGCGAGCTATCGGATTGCCCGTAGTACAGGCCCTGCCTGTGGGTAAACGTCTCTACGATCACATGTGCCACTTTGGACCCACATTTGTGACCAACACCACGGGCCAGACTACATTTCCGTCGCGCATTACCGTAGCTGATCTGCTGTCCTTCTATCTGGCTGGCAATCCGGCAACGCGTCTTAGCTCAATTGGGGGCGTCGAGGCGTTGACTTTTCTGAAATCTCCACGCTCCCGGCTGCCCAGCGACTGGCCTGACCTAGAGCTTATATTGGTGGCGGGAAGCCTGGCCAGCGATGAGGGCACAGCACTCAAACAGGGCGCCAACTTCAAAGATGAGATCTATGACGCGCTCTACAGGCCGCTTCAGCTGGCGGTTCAAGATCATTTTACGCTGCTTGTGATGCAATTTCATCCCAAGTCTTTCGGTCGTCTCTGGCTGCACAACAGGGATCCCTTCACCTGGCCCAGAATCGATCCCAACTATTTCCAAAATGAAGAGGATGTAGAGTATCTACTCGATGGCATCAAGGAGGCCATACGCATAACCCAGATGCCAGCACTCCAGGCCGTAGGGGCTAGGCTCTTAGATCGCCCCGTGCCTGGCTGTGAGGACAAGCCGTTTGGGTCAGACGACTATTGGCGCTGCTCCATCCGCACCATGTCCTACACCCTGCACCACCAGGTGGCCACCTGCCGCATGGGACCTACTACAGACCCAACTGCCGTGGTCAGCCCAGAGCTGAAGGTGCATGGCATGCGCAAGCTACGCGTCGTGGACACCAGTGTCATTCCTCTGCCACCCACCGCCCACACAAATGCGGCTGCTTTCATGATCGGCGAGAAGGCGGCAGACTTGATAAGGGCCGATTGGCTCTGAGCGTCAAGTGTAGCGGTCGAAGCCCTGTCGCTGACGCAACAGAGGGAAGGGCTCCAAGCTTGTTGTTTGCCTCGGCCAAGTTAATTAAATGAAATCGCCTAACAGGATAACGGGAGGGGAAGAGAGCGGGGGACGGGCAGCAAGCAGAGCCTGGAGCCTGGGGGTTGACCGGCCGCAGAGTGCATTCACCCAGTCCCAAGTAACGAGGGTTGAAATACTTTCGTTTCAACTAGGCACAGCCACGATATACTTATCTAACGGGGTGGTTTGCGTGCCGCCAGCCATGAAATAGTCAAAACATGAAAACTGAAACTTGCCAACGGATGCTGTTGGCTGTACCCAAAGCTCAACAGAGAAAACTCGATGGAGGCAGTCTAAGGGGGGTTGCGAATTGTTTAGCTCGCCTGTGGAACGGCAGCGGGGGCAGCTAGTATGCTAGATGAGTTGACTTGCAGTCGATGGGGGTGGTGCTTACAAGTGGTTATCAGTATGCAAAGGCAGCGGCTGAGAGGGAAGCAGCGACTCTGCCCGCTTCCTATTGTTGTTGTGGTTCAGCCTTGTCAGCCTTGTGGCTGGCAGTAAAAAACAAAACTTTCAATATGCATCAGCAGGGGACTCTTTCCACAACTTCAAGCATCGGGAATAACCCGAACTAAATACTATTTTCTATTTTACAGGATTAGTTTTAAAGCACTGATATTTTATAGATATAGTAATAAATGGCCACACAATCTTATCTAAGATTCAATTATATTGCACGCAAAAATCAAATCAGCTCATTGACTGCTATCAGCGCTATCAGTGCTGATAGACTGATTGGAGGGTGATTAACGCACAATACGAATTGTGAGAGTTCCGTAAAGTATCAAGTATAGTATTTCATATGATTAGTGGTGTATGATATACGCTGCATTCATTCAGTTAGACATCAAACATAACAAAGATTTTTGACAAATTCCCATTCCCTTTTCTCTTGGTCTTTATATATTTTTTTCTCTATATATGAATATTTTTTTTATCTTTTTCTTCATGCTTATTTATTTATATATTTATTATATATTTACTATTATTTTATATTATTATTAATGTTATTATTTATTTATTTACAATTATTCATTTATATCTTCCTCTTTCTGAATATCTTGCTCTCTTTCTCTCTCTATCTCTCTCAGTATATACATCTACATCTCTCAGGCTTTCTCTCTCGTTCTCTTACTTTTCATCTCTCTTTCCCTCTGCCTATCTTTCTGTCTCTCTCTCTCTCTCTCTCTCTCTCTACCGCGTTCTCTTTTTCTCTGGCTCATTTGCTAAGTTTATCAATCTGGCACAAGAGTCATATGCAGCTTTTAAGCTTTGCAAATTCTTGATGATATCTTATCTTTTAAAGTATCTCATTTATAAATGGTTTTTTTATCATATTTAATTCATTATAAAAATATGTGTACATTTAGATTTATATTACACATTCATATATATATCTATACTTCAACATATATATACAATGTGATATTCATTTATGACACATCGTCATAAGACTGAAGTTACTTAATCCCGTAATGCTTTTCTATGTCAAAGCAGTTCAATTTTATAAAAAAATATCTTGTGAAGCACATGCAGTTGCAAGTTTCGGAGAAATGCTTTCAATGCATATCGCAGCTATATAATATACAGTATATATACGATAAGTGGGCAGTCTGTCAGTCGGTTATTATACCCCACTTGTGCACAATTCTAATGAGGAGCATGCAAAGCAATTTCAAGCTGAACGCCACAAAGTATGCAACAGAAATTGTAGCAGCTGCCGACTGTCAACAATGTGGACGGCTTTGCTTAATTACTGCATTTGAAATTGGTTTCTGAGGGCGCGGCAACCAGCTAGAAGAAGCGTAAGAATTATATACACGAATATGTAGAAACACATGTACTTGCACTGTGGGCAAAATTCACACAGTGGGACGCATAGGTTAATAGCTGAATTATGATCAAGAATAACTTACGTAAATAAAGAAAAGCGAGCATTGAGTTTCAAGTTAACTAGAATCAAGTCAGAGGGGTGGGTCTCAGCTCAGTGTCACTTATAATAATAGATTTTAAAAATACATCTAAGCCTAATCAAAAATATAAGGAAGCCAATGAGCTCACCTGAAACAATTAACGCCTCATTCGGGCCCGTTGTGTGTATGTTGCCCATGCTGGAAGACTCTGTAGTTGGGGCTGTCCTCCTAATTGGCTAATTCACTTTGATACCTGTACGTTTGTGTGCGTGTGCTGGCTCCACTTGCCTTGGCTAGAAGACTGCAACCACGAGAGCAACGACAGCGACGACAACGATAAACAACAAAACAATAGATATATATGTAGCATAAGTAAACAAAGGTGAAATACAAATGGAGCCCGCTTCAAATCGAATTCAAGCAGGCAACACTTTTTGTGCCGCGAGTGTTTCCGGTGCCGCCGTAGAGTATGCTACACATATTATTACTGGCACCAGCACGCTTCGAGTTATTGTTTTGCTATATTTGCTTTTGCATTGCGTTTGCTTTTACGTGTTGGGGCGGCGTCAACAACAACTAAAACAACAACGATAACAACTTGCTCTGGGCAATTGAACATCAAATGTGTAAATCACACTAGCACTGCTCATAGTTGAGATTTTTATCGAGCTTTCCTGCCCACATAGCATAAGTTAAATAAATTCGGAAAAAAACTTCCATTGGTAATTGAATTATTTTGTATTTAAATGTCATACGCTCGATAAGAAAAAAATATACACACATTCATCAAATAGCCCGAGCAACAGCAACGCACGCCAAATAAAATTAGAACAATAACAACAACAACAACGTCTAATGGCGTCCCATTGAACTGGTCTAGTGGCGGTCGCATGACGCAAACATTCAAACATTTGGGCAGCGGCAGCGGCAGCGACTCGAAGTTATTTTTGCTGCGAGGATGTTTGACTTGTGAGCGTGTATGTGTGTGTTTGCGTGTGATATTAAAAAATATGCATAAATATTGAGAGCGAGTGCCGCCTTATCATGAGCTCATCGGCGTTTTGACATACATACACATATTTTGTTTAGAACAAAACGTAGCAGAGCCAATGCAACAATAGAAACACACATAATACACACACACACATCCGCATACAACGAAAAAAAATAACCCCTAGCGGCCGCCTTTGCTAAACATTCTAGTTGGGGTTGCTGCTGTGTGTCAAATTCTTATTGGAAGTAAACAAAAATTTTGTGCGTTTGTTATTGCTTTTTTATTGGTTTCCTATTGACGCCGCCTAACAGAGCAAACGCTGGTCTAACGTCGTCACTCTTTGCACCGATCAACCGGCAGTGTTAGCATATATTATATATACAAGTTAAAAGAAACGCGCGAAAGCCACTTCACAAATTTCAGTTTCAATATCACCCACAATTCCACGACAAAAAAAAAAAAGTAGAAAAACAATGACCAAAAAACAAAATATTTAACAATTGCCGCTTAGAGTTGTGTATGCGACAACAAGTAGCACGCACCAATACACACGATCGCAAGCACTTGAATGTTATTTAGTTTTATTTTTAATTAATTGGTATGCGCCAGCGAGCAACGAACATTTATTTATTCCGGCACCGCAGAACTCCTCAATCGAATTGGCAATGTTATATTCTATTTGGCTTATCGTTGACTGTTATCGAAATTGAATGCGATTGCTATCAGTGTGACCAACTCATAGAAGTCTCTTTATGGTTTGGTATTTAAAACAGCGCAGCGAATCGGCTGTTTATTAATTAATTTATAAATTAATAATAACACTAAACTATAATTTTACAACATAAACACTAGCGACGCATTCAACTGTAAAGCAAACTACAATAATGGAATTCACACTGGTTTTAAATATATTTTTAGTTCCTTTCAATAATTTATTTCTTTCAGTAATTAAATTAATATTTAATAAGAAAAGTATAAACAAAATGACTACAAATAATTTGATGCATGAAATAGTTTTCTCCATATGAAACTTGATTGTTTGAACTGCCCGCTAAATAGTTATTTCGCTCGTTATCGTCTATCGATAATTTGATTTTGATTTGCAGCACCACAAATGTTGCAAGTTGACAAAGATTTCATTTACGATTTTCGAGTTAGACAATTGTCAAAGCGACGAGCATGGCGCGTTGCTACCTGTGCAACTGCACATTTGCGGACAAAAAGGTGTACGAGCACATGTTCGACCGGCGCTACAATGCGAACGGCATTGAACAGAAGACGCTGGCCAATATATTGGCCATGGTGCTGGGCCATCAGCTGCAGGAAGATCAGCTGCACTCCACGGTAAGAAAGGAGAGAAATCATGTGGTCGCTTATATTGTTATACTCCTGCACTCATTTTTCGCAGTTTGTGTGCAGCACCTGCAAGGTGAGCCTGCTCAATTATGAGGCAATGGAGAATCAATTGCTTGCGGCCCGACGGGAAATAATACAGCTGCGCAGGTCAACCCTTGAACTATATGAAAAACAGAAAGAAGAAGACGACTATCTAAGTGAGGACAGCAGCTTGCTGGAGTCAGACCTTATCGAGGAGCAAGCAAAAGCCAGTCTCGAGCATATGAACCTGCTGCAACAGTGCTCAGAGGATATAGACCTAATGTATGATACGGACGACGATTTAATAGCAGAGTGCGATAGTACAGACGAAGACGATGAGGAAGATGAACTGGAAGTTAATTTCAAAATGAAGCCAGGTGGCGTCTCCTCATGTTGTCAATCAATATTTTTAGCTAATGCCAAGTCTTTTTTCCTCTTATCAGCTGGCAAGCAATCGACAGCCCAAGCCAAAGCGAGCTGCACATATTGTGGGAAGACGTTTGCTCGGCGCCAATGGCTGGAGGAGCACGAGCGCGTACACACGGGCGAGCGGCCCTATAAGTGCGACCAGTGCGATGCAACCTTTGCGCAACGCGCCAATTTTCGCACTCACCGGTCAGTCACGCACCAGAACAAGGCTAACTTTAAGTGCAACCAGTGCGAGCGGAGCTTTAAGCGCAAGCGGTTGCTGGACAATCACATCAAATCAAAGCACACTCAGCTTCGAGACTTGAAATGCGAACACTGCGAGGCGACGTTCACGAATCCGGTGAATATGGTCAAGCATCTGCTCTGTCATACCGGCGAGAAGAACTACAGCTGCCAGATCTGTGGCAAGCAATTCAGTCGTGCCGAGAATCGGAACGTTCATCACTTTGTACACAGCATTCGAAAGCCTTATGTTTGCGTCGTCTGTGACGAGGGTTTCATGCGTAAGCAGCAGCTCCAACAGCATATAGCCGCTACCCAGCATCCAAATCCGAAGATCGTTCGCCGTAAGCCGCTGTTCAGTGCTGCAAACTCCGACAAGCTGCTCCAACGGCCGCTCAGTGAGGCTAACAAATAACTTCCGATCTTAAGTTCGGAAAAATTAGCTACCAGAAAGTATTTATCAACAGAAATGTTATTCTATTCATAGGAAATTCAAAGAAATATCTATGCTATCTCTTTTTATCTGATGTTTACCAATATGCTCTCTCTTTCTTTCATAAAAACAACCAGCTATTGTTTGGTCTGCCTAATTATTGGCTTAGTAAGAAAGCAGTGTTAGACAACGCTTTTTGTTCGCATCATGCAGCTGCTTACATATTAACAGCTGCTTCGATTAACCAACTTAAAATGAAATTATGTGAACATAATTTCAGTTATAAATTCTAATTCATTTATAACAACATATAGTCAAAGCTATATTTTTCGTTATATTTCGAGCAACACTGTCTTCTTGTATTGTCTATCTCTTTTCAACTGATGTTTTCTATCATGCCCTCTCCTTCTTACACCAAAATAAACATTTGTAACAAATGCTCGCTGTTCCATTGAAAGTGAAGCACCCGAACAGTGTTGCACAATGCGGTTCGATATTTACGCATTGCAACTGAACAGCTGTTTTCTATAATTTAACAGCTGTTTATTGCGACAAACAGAAAGCGTGCAATTTTCTGAGCAAATAAAATTAGACAAAAATGCTACATCAATGCGGACTGAACAATTTGAACAAAGCTCTAGCTCAATTACCAATTGAGCTAAGCTCCATCTATAACGGGTTGGGTTCACTGGGTTAAAAATTTTAGAAAATGCCACCTACTTTAACCCAGATTTTATTTCATTTAGTAGTTAATGCAGACCCCCAAGTCTTAACTCTTACAAGTTACTTTTGAACTTTTAAGAAATTAAGCAGAAATACACAACTAGCAGCAAAGCAAATAATTCATATATCGGATTATTCCATTTAAGTCCTAAATGAAATAAAAGTCAATAAACTATTGAGTGCCAGTGTTCCCGCTAGTCTTCTGACTAAAAGAAAAAATCCCATTGAATTCATTGAAGAATCATTTTTGTTTGTATTGGTTCTTCAGTTCCTCCTCAGCTTTCCTTTCTTAAATGTACACACACAAACACATTGCAACTGTAAATTAATGTTTGTATTGTTGGAAAAAAAATGACGGGTTTGTTTGTTTTTTTAGTTGTTTAACACCGGCCTGGGCGACTGGCGGCTGGTGGTGTTCACAGCCACTGCCCCCGTTCCAGAACACATTTTATTCAGAACGCAACATCTTCTCCTTTTGACGCTGCAGCTTCTTCTTTGAGAGCTTCTTCTTTGCGGGCTCATCGTCGGCAGCCTTGGCGACGATCTCCTCCTTCTCGGAGAGGATGACCTCAACGTGGCATGGTGACGACATGTAGGGATTGATGCGACCATGAGCACGGTACGTGCGACGACGCAGGCACTGAGCGCGGTTGACCTGAATGTGATCGACAACTAGACGATCGGCATCGAGTCCCTTGTAGTCAGCGTTCGCCTCGGCATTGCGCAGCAATTGCAACAGAAACTCGGCGGACTTCTTGGGCCAGCGACCTTGTGTGGTCTTCCACTGCTTAGCCTGAGCGCAACGGCCGACGCCACCGTTGAAACGGCGGAAAGGAACGCATTCCTTCTGATCGATGACAGCCTTCAGGAAACGCTGGGCACGACGCAGTGGCATGCGCTTGATGGCCTGTGCGGTCTCGTGAGTGTTCTGCGAAGATAAGCAAATGTTTAGATTCCAATATATAATGAAAGGGTCAACGTGGGCGTGGCATTAATGCATGTTATAGTCTTATGTGCTGCTTTGTACCATGCTACAGGTAGAGACGAGCGCATTGAGCGCTGCTCGCCGCTGTTTTAACATGACTGAAATTTACTTTGGGCACACTCGAGAAACAAATAATCGTAAGAGTTAATACGATTACTAAATATAAGAGAATGTGCCCTTTTGTAGTGGCTTAACATCTTCCATTGAGGTCTTTAAACTGAGATTAGGGCGCTGTATCACGCTACAGGTAGAGACGAACGCATTAAGCGCAGATCGCCGCTGTTTTAACATGACTGAGATTTACTTTGGGCACACTTGAGCTGAATACACGCTTATAAAATGCGTGCACTGCAAATATTAAGTGCGCCCATACTTAGTTATATTCAGGATGTAGGCAAGGCTTTAGAAGAGCGCGATGTGGTGCAATATTTTCGTCGCGTTCAGCTGATAGCTTGTCTCTATATACAATTTTCTAGCAACAATGCAAAAGCGAAAACCTGCAAATGATTATGGCAGAAGAATCACTGATTTATGTTGCACATACGCACACACATACACATAACCACACTTTTGCCGACACTGTCAACAACAACTGTTTGGCGTCCGTCTGCATCTCGGAGGGGAATCGCCTTACTTACCTTAAAATGAACACGTAGATTGGGTCCGCGCGCCTTGCACGACTTGGTGGCGTTATCTGGCTCACGTGAGTAACGGCCCATTGTTTAATATCTACAAAATATACAGTAAATACCAATGCTTTAGTCACTTCAAGTAACAATAAAAAAATAATTTTGTATGTACACAGAAAAAAAAACACAATTTTTGCAGTCAATTGGCGGCAGTTTGCATTTGCATTTGTATTGCAATTTCGTGCACAACGCATTTAGCACTTTATACTCTGAAGTATTTTACGCGTTTTATTGATATATACTTATTAAGTTATTACGATGTTTAAAAATTTATTTGCGGCTTTGCCAATTCAGCGTACCTCCTTCGTCGTGTACGAAACCGGAAAAGAACCTTTGACAGAGAGTTGGCGGCCATGCTTGATATGACAATAAATCGGTATCGATAAGCACAACAGTGTTGCACAGTGAGTGTGTGTGTGCGAGCGCAACAGCTATCGCACACAGTGTTGCATCACATTCACATAGCAGCCAGCTTTGCTTCGTATGCTGTATACTGAAAAAGGCGCGCATTTTTTGTAAATTAATTGAAAATTCAAACATCTCAATTGAAAGCAATTCGCGCAGCAGTCGCAGTAGCCACAACAGTTTGTTATCATTTCCTTCCGCAGCGAGCACATTGTGCGCATATACAAAAACTTGCGCAAATTGCTTATGAGTGGTACTTGGCACAACCATAAAACGTTATTCATTTAAGCTACACTCGTTTAGTTAGTTGCTTCCCCACAATTTCTTTATTACAATTCTGCCATTTTCATACGTACTTACAATGCAAATTAATTGAATTAATTCAATTTGCTGCCGCAGCGTTTCGTTGATTTTACTTCTTTTCATCTATTTGCTTTCCCCTCCCCTAACTAGGCGCTGCTGTTCGAATATATCAAATCATATCAAATCAAATCATAACATATATATATATATATATATATATATATATATATAGTAGTATTTATAAGTTTTGCATGCATTTCATATTGCTCATCTATATAATGTGTATGCTGAAATCCCAAATGCTACTTCATGTAGTACTTAGTTAGTCAGTGCGCGTACTTGATATAATTTCGCTGCTTTGACTTTATTAAAATCACAAAAAAAATCAAATAATCCAGGCAACAACAACATCAACGGTCACTTGAACAAAATAATGCAATAAATGTTGTGGCATATAATAATAATATATAAAGTATAACATTTGAGGCGTCTGTTCTTTTTGCCTTTGTTTTTGTTGGCTGCCTCTTGAGCTGCGGATCGGCATAGCTCGGCTCTCAAATATACGGGCAGCGACGACGACAACTGAGACAAATCTAATTTACATGATCGCTCGCATTATCGTCCATTGTATTATAATCATTTTAGCCAGCGACAGCAACGGCGACGGCGACAGCAACGGCGATGGTGACGGCGACTGCGACTGCGATGACGATGGCGGCAACATCGACTGAGACGTCAACGTCGACCTCCGTCTGTGCCTGCGCCTGCGCAGCTAACCCCGCCCTCATTGTTGCTATTGTTGTTGTTGTTGGGGCTGTGGCGAGTTCAGCGGTTGGCGCTTCCTAAGTGGATGACACTCAAGCTCATTGAGCGCTCCAATCTGGCGAATCGGCGGCAGATCGGAGGCAAACGGGGCAGCAGCAGCGCTGCTGCACCTAGCTATACAGTAGCAGCAGCCGCAGCCGCAGCCGCAACAGCAGCACAAGCAGTAGCAGCAACAAATTATAATACGAGTAAACATAATACAACAAAAACAACAACAAAAGGCATTCGCAGCGGCTCTCGCACAGCGCACTAAACAATGCGAAATATCTGAATCTGAATTTTTTTTTCGTTTTCAATTTTTGTGCCCAGTTTTAAAGTTCAAGCCGCGACATTAACACACGAAATCTGCGATTATCCGTGCAAGCTAGCAAATACACAAATCGAGTTGCCTTATATATATAGATACAGATAGATATTTATATATAAACGCATTTACAATACGCTATCACGCGGCCGCTCTCTCCCTCTCTCTCACTCTTATATTGTCGCTACGCATGGCCCCTATGTTGCCCTCTCTTTTCGTTGAGGCGTTGTAATTGAAATTCGGTTGTTGTTTTTTTGTTTTTGTTTATCGGAACTGGCGAAGCGCGTTTCTGGAGCGTGAAAAACAGCGCGAAAAAACCAAATCAAATAAAAAATTAAATAAAAAAAAACGAAAACAAAAACAAAAACAAAAAACAGGAATTTGCTTAAGCAAGCCGAGCGCCTCATAAAAACACAACAGCAATGAAAATATTTAGCTAACCTAAAAAATGCAAATAGAGGAAAATTTCAGCAAATAAACAAATAATCGAAAATCAAAAGCAAATCAATCGAAAGCAAATTAAATTTATCGATAAACACAAAAAGTTCGCCTTAATTGAGCTGAGGAAACTTTTCAAGTTGTAAATCAAGCAATGAAATAAATATATCTTAGCACAAGAAGAAGAAGAAAATATAAAGTAAATAAAACATTGAAAATAAACAAATTCCGATGTGAGCAAATTATGAAAACGAAATGAACAAAAGCCGAACAAGATATATAAGAAATTTATTTAATATTTTAATACAAGC